CGAATTTGATAGAAAACGACGCGAGATCGTCTTGTCGTCGACATAGCGGCGTTATGACGAAACCGTATGACTTCGATGAATCCGCGAGTCACGTACACGCAGTCTACGTGACGGACTTTTGTAAAGGCCGCCTAACACGCAACAGCTAAACTTTAGTTATGACCTTAGGAACTCGATAAGAAAACCTCTCGATGCGACGGCACTCCTTCGTTTCGATCCCATGGGTACATCCAACTTTTATTATAGTAGATATCGTGTTACTCATCTTCGCGTAGAATTATACGAAACTTTCAATAGCTTTCGCCAACCAGGCGAGGACGAGTCTCCGAGCTGAACGGGGAAATAAAACTCGACGTTCGCCAGATACACTAAGGGGCTACGTGAAATGAGTTTGGAGTCGTGTTTGGAACCTCTTCACCAACGAGGCGTGCACGTCTTTTCCAGGAAATTCTCAAGGTTCGACGACCACGTAATATCTGTATGACAAACGCCAATACGCTCTGCAAACACGGACCTTATTGTAAACTCGTGTCCCTGCGTTTTTACCACGGCGACGACTAAATCTGTGCGTGCTGCGATCGCGAGTACCTGAACTCCTAGCAGCGATACAGAGATATAAATTAGAGAAAATTTCACGATAAATCAAAATCTTAATTAAAAGGGACTGACCGACCCGATATTAAACGGCTATTCTTAAGTTTGGATAAAGGTGGTTGAAATAGTTAATTAATTAGTATTTACGCGAGAGTGGTACCGTTCGAAGGCCAATCCCAGACAATAAGAATGCAGACTCGCGTGATGGTAATACTCGTCTGCCTATAAGACACGAGGACCGGAAGTCGATGTCCCGGCGGCTACTTCCGGCCACGCGGGGTCTACGATCGTCAATGTCAGGGATTTGCCATGATCGAACCAGTCGGGAATTTGTTTGATAAATAAACAAGCAAACCGCCAAGTACACTTCTCGAATAATTCTTAATTGAATGAAATATGCCATCGAAAATCTTGAAGGTGAAACGATCACGAATGATGCTAGCCGTAACTTCGATATAAATTCGAAAGAATAAAAGACACGAGGTGTTTCGGTGTGGCATTTTTCAAGCGGTGTGATTCATGTGCGTTGCACCACGCGTGAGTACGAATAAGTTATTCAACGCTTGATAAGCACGCATGCGTTCGCACGGTGTCGAAAATACGTACGTGACGTAACGCGCGACGATGTGATCAGGTTCAACGTGTGTTCACGAATTCGAATCGCATCGCCGCTGTTTAGTTATCGTTTCGACGAAATCGAGTGGCACGCGCAAAAATAAATAATCGATACCGCGAACTTGGGACGTAAAAATATTTCTGGTGACAATCTGTCTGGAGTCTGGACACGTTCCTTCAGAATCCGATGCATGATGTTTGCGTAAAATTAATATGCACGAGATAGGTACACTTAAAATTTTCTCAAGTCTCAATTGCAATTTATTTCTGAAACGTGGAGACTCGCATTTCTTGGTAACAATTTTCTTCTTAATAAGATAGATGCACGTAAGAATGCATCAGCAGCTATGTGCAAGCAGTTACGTGCATCGAAAGCATTTTAGTCGAATAAATAAATTTTCCTAATTAAATAGAAAGGCAGATAATTATACAGCTAATATCTTGATAACACACTCACCATGGCACAGGTGAGGAACAAGTTCAGCTCCATCCTCGTTCTTCCTCCCACAGCTGCTTACGTGGGTTTACCGATAATCGTTAATCACCTTTTCGCGGTGTTTGTCAGAATCAACGCGGAACGTTTCTCGAGACGCATATCGATCGTTCACGTGCACCTCTTCCTCATGAATATTTCCTGGCCTCGTGAAGTTTCTTCTTTGATCGCGAAGCGTTGGTTTCCCGTTGCCTGCAGCTGTAACTCAACAATTCCCAGCCGCCTGCTCCCTTCTGCGTTCACTTTGCGAGTTGTCGTGATTCCAGATCCTCCCTGTAACATTTGGGAGGAGGGATTAGCATCTCCCTAGGGATCTTTTGACATACGACGCGAAGCGAGAACGTCGATCCTCTTAAACTCGAACCAATTGGAAGATTCTCTGATTAAATTAATAAAATAGGTAACCTTTCAAAGCATCGTCGCGCAGCTACATCAACATCGAATTCGCACTCTAAGAACTCGCGATGACAGCTCTTAACGATTTATGTCGAAGGTTGCAACTTGTATCACCGATGTTTTTTTACAGTTTAATTAGCACAATAGCGAGATTAGTATCTCGGCGTCGGATCCGTAAACGTGCCAGAAACGTACGCGCGTGTTTTTGCATTCCACGGGAGATTTCTCGGTAAAACGATTGCGGAGGTATCCAGGAAGTCGAGCGCACAGGAAGTTTGGAAAGTGGACGTTCACCGTCGACGTCTGCGTACTATTTAAATACTATCGATAAAAATTGGCGGGTGATCGAGGACGTTAGAAATTCAGAAGAACCTAATACCAATGATTTCTTCCTTTTGAAAGTTGTATTACGAAATTGCAGGTGTGTAGACAGTATTCAGCTTTGAACGAAAGCTTCTTAAACATCAAGCTTTGAATGGAAGCTTCTTAAATATTAAGCTTTTAATGGAAGAATTATATTAATATATAGAATCATTATTGTATTTAAATACTGAAAGCTCTCTCAGAAAACTCTTTACGGTGTCTAATGTATTTTAATACAGATTTATCGGGCCCTGGACGCAGGAAACGAGCAAGGAACAGGAAGCAAAATCCTTGGGAAATTGACAAGTGCGTCGATGCTATGGAAAATAATAATCGGTTGCGGACTCTCGTTAGAACAACCTGCACTACAATTACGCGTCGCGATTCATCCGTCAGGAAAGTGGCAATCTTGTTACTGGACATGCTCCAGTGACTTCGACTCGGCCAACCAGAAGGGAATGGATGAGCGTGATTATAACCCATTACCGAAATGTCAATTTTCATTGTTAGCCCTGCGCGAGGTCAACGCTTCGTCGAACACTTTCAACGAATAACAGTGTGCAGAATCGTGCGAACGTAAAATAATAATAAACCCCATTGTTCGTCTTCCGATGCAAAAGAACATTAATTAAAATATTTTTGGTAGCGCAATCGGCGATTAATTTGATTCTCATTATCGCGTGATTCATCGGAATCATGTATATTCATTGCATGCATGGAATATCCTTCGAGGATCGTCGAGTCGATACTTTCAATGCAGCTGGAGAATACAGTATTTTCCACTGACTCATTTAACGCGAAAGCAATTAAGAATATTAAATGCCACGGAACGTTTGGACGACAAAGTTGCTCGTCAAATATGTAGAATCGTTCTTCATTTTATTTATACGATTTAATCGGAGCTTAATAAATTCCTGTAGATCACCTTTTCGCATCCACTTTGCGTTTGGCTTTGTTAATTTTAATTTACTTTTGAATATTATTCCATAAATATGAGATTTAGTTAATTAGTTAGACTGAAGATTTTAAGCATTTATGATGGATATAGTAGTATAGAAAACACACAAAAAATAGACATAATGTCTAACTATAACGAATGGTTTTCTTAAAGTTACATACCTTTTTATTATTTCTCAGCGACGAATACCTACGATACATTCAGTATTTTTTTTAAATTACAGTCATATCACGATACCGTTTTGTACTTCGCCCACGAAACAAATTATCCACGCCTTAACACTCGACCGACGATAACTCACTGCGGCCACACGAGCACGTTTGGCAACTTGATCGCACTGTCAGCCAGGGAGTTTGTCAGAGAGGAATCCCCATAAATCACCGCTGGCCGTCCCTCGAGTCGTCGAGGATCAAACGAACGGTTTAATTGATTCAACGAGTGATCGATTATGTGCTTGACTGACTGACTGACTGACTGACTGAGTGGCGAATAACTTGTCGACGATTCGAGCCGACCAAAGGACGAATAAGTGGGGATGAAAGTGGGGGGTGACTCCTCACGGAACGAAAGTACTCGTCTCGCAATTTAATTTAAACGGTCGCCTAATGAAAAAGGGAAGTCGACGAGGCGCGACGATCGAGCGCGACGATCGAGCGCGATATCGATACGCGTTCGAGGTAAATTTGAATTCGAGATGTCATGAATTTTTGGAATGCAGTTTTCCACAGATAGGCTGCAAAATCGTTTCACGTTGCGCCCGATTGCCTGATCATTTTAATTGCACCAGAGGAACGGGCAAACGTAAACGGAAAGCCGCGCAATTTAGATACGTTCTTTGGGACATGGTCGGTGACTTTCACTCGCCATTGCATTCTTTTTTAACAGATCTTTCTTTTTGGCTTCCACGCAAACAGGTCAAATTAATTGTAGTCTTCAGTGGAGAGTATAATGTCAGCGCGTAATTGCGCAAGAAAAAGTGGCACGCCGAGCAAATGGATTCTTCAGTATATTGCTTGAAAGTTTCGAGTGCCTTGAAAATGGACTTAGAACGCGATTTAGAATTTTAAACAATTGTATCACTTTTAATATTTCTTTTATGTTTTGAGTTTTGTATGTATTATTCAAAGGAAATTTAAATACTGGAAAATTTAACACCGTATAGTTTATGCCTTCGTAGATTAATATTTCGTGTCGCGAAAGTTTAGTCTTAAACTGAAACAGAGGAATATATAAATTATTATTTTGGAGCGGTGGATACGATGATTTATTTCAAGCAGAAAATTATGATTGTACATTAAAAGAAAAAAAGAACATGGAAGCATCATTTTCTACTTGAATAACATTCTAAAATACATGGTAAAAGAAATGTAGAAATATTTACTTGGAAAGATTACTCTAATGCTTGTCTGAGATTGCAAAGTTACTATACTTCGATTTAATAATAGTATCATTGTACATTTCTTTCATCGCTTAAATTTTATTTATTCTTCCGAACAATCTATACACTTAAAGTTCTCCTTGGACTACTTTGACCAGCGTAATATTTCTGTTTATGTACAAAATAAATTCACGACGTCTGCATTTGGCATCCTCAACGACCCCATGAAACCGGTGTTTTATTTATCAAAAACAAATAAAAAAATATACTCTGCGAACGGATTACTATTAATGTTATCTTAAAGCTTGTCAACCTGCATAATCACGTTAATCTATATACATATCCCTCGTACACATATTCTTCTCTTGTATTTTTCTGGAAAATTTTCTTTGCATTAGCACCGAAAAGAAAATTACTCGAGGCTAATTCTAATCGATGGTCAGTTGTCGGAACGACCCATCGATGCCAAACAGGTCGTCGTGAGTCTTTGGCTTCCCTGGTCGAAGGTCCTCGTTCGCCTTCACAGACTCCTGCTCCTTAAACCATGGACCATACTCTTCCAGCTTCTTCACCCAGACGTCTGAAAACAAAAATAAACATCCAATACTTGCAACCTTCAACCTATAAAGAAAATTCTCCTGAGAAAGTTCTTCTTATATATAACTATGAAAATATGTTGGTAATATAAGACTTGATACAAGGATAAAGAGAAAAATAGCGCACGAAGTATAGAAGCCTGAAACGGCAAAGTTTTCTCCTGTTAATTCTCCTCGCAAAGACTAGGCGATTGCTTCAAGCGTGTACATAGTTTTCTACCGCCAGGCGCACCTTTCACCACGAGTTTGAACCGCTTGGACTTCCAAAGAGTGTAATTTGCGGAGCTGCGTTTGTCCAGCTCCTTCTCCTCGCTTTGCCGCGCGGCGTACACCTTCACCTTCTCTCTTACGATCGTTCCTAACCATCTTGTACAATCTACACGCATTTCGTAAGATCCCTTAAAGTATGTAGAAGGAAATTCCAACGAAGGGGGGAAATCTGAATCAAGATTCGAAAGCAAGTGATTTCTCTTTGGTGCAACTACTTGCTGACAAACCCTTCTTTAAGGTACAGGGTGGATTGAACTACTAGGGTGAAGTTAACCTCTTAAGCTACATCTAGACATTCTGTAGACGCTTCGACATTCTAGAAGAAACCATTTGCAAGCACGTTTTAATCAAAGCATCGATTAAAAGAACATTATTTTATAAAGGGCTGTTCGAAACCTGTAAACAGACCTGTGAAACATCCTGTAATCATTAAACATGACCTGTGCTAATTGAAAAGCTCTCATTCTTTAAAAATGTCAGCTACAAGGAGACTTCCAACGTACCGTGGATAGCTTGAATGGGTCCAGCGTCGCCGCCGTACTCCTCGGGCAGTATCTCCCTGGGGATATAGTTGTAGAGAGTCTTAATGTCGCTGTGCATGAAGATCCTGTTGCGTATCTTTTCCTTGAGGAACGGTTTCACAAACTTGACGATGGTGTCGACGAGGGGGCTGACGTTCACCACGTGCACCTCCTTCAGCTTCACAGGGTAGGCCTCCTGGACGCACACGAGGAATTTCTTCACGATGCCGGTGGTGAATTTGGCGAAGTGCGCGGGGGTGGCACAGCTGGCGTCCAGGATGTACACGTCGCCAGCCACCCCGACCTGTTCTTCGTTCAAGCGTATGTCGCCTATCATCATGACCAGCTTCAGTGCCTCGGAGACGTTTGGAGTGGGCACGTCCTTTTCGATACCTCGCATCACGATCACTCGTCGACCCTCTTTCGTTAGGCCAGGCAGGGGAGGTATCTGACTGAGGTAAGAGAAACTTTATCAATAAATGATGAATCGAATATTGTGGACTACAGATCATATATAGATTATATTTATCATTTCAATAACCTTTCCCTAGTCTACTAAATAATAATTAAACAAGTATACCAAGTATATTTGACATTACGAAGGTCTAAAATATGTGACAGCCCTGAAAATGGACTGTATATTCACGTCGCAATATTACTGGCAATCGCTGAATGATTGCCTAAGATTTATTAAAACGGAGCGAAACTTTTCTCGTTACGGTATGCAAATTTGCTTTTCGAAAGTTTCGCGTGGACTCGCGGTTCATGTCACTGGCGACGCTGAAATTGCTCGCGAACGACGAATTAGGAAATTTTTGATTCTAAAGGCGCGACGATGACGTCTTCTCGGAGTACGGGAAACTTTGATGCGCCGCTTTCGCGGATTATCTTTGATTAAAATATTCCAGCATGTCGCTCTAGTTTGGGTCTTCCTGTTTTAATTTGGGGAAAGGGAAAGGCAAACTGAAATCTACAGGGTGTGCACTAAAAATTACACACCTGGTTTGTTTCGTGAAATGATAAGAAAAACTTCTTACACTAGGTTGAGGATCTCTCTTATTTCTGGTCTGTTGGCATCACGACCGGTGAAGAACTCCGGTACCGCTGCTCTCATCGTGAAGTACATGTCCAGCTTCCTTTTGCATTTTTCCAAGGAGAACTTGCATCCACGAAGGAACGTCATCAGTCTCTGGTCATCTGCAGACGAGAAGAACGTAGTGAGAAAGGTCATTGTATTCTAAACGAGAGCATCTTCTGTTTCCATAATTTGTTAATAAATAAATCTGTATGAAAGTATCAAAATATCAAAATAAAAACTGAATATTTGTTTAAAATATGAAATAAAGTCAAGGAATAATCAAACAAAATTGATATTAAAACGCTACAGCGAGCGAGATGACATAATCGATGTAAGTTTTTTACATATCTTGGCAGAAAAAAAAAATTGCTACTTAAGAACTGTTTACTCATCCATTAGCTTACAGAAGTCACTATGGACGACACCTAATTGTTCTAGTAATAATGCGGTTGAAATGATCAAATCTTCGTTTTGACGATCAAATAGTCACTCGTGTGATACGATAAACTGCGAGTCTTTTTGCAATTAATCCCTGTGCGTGATGCTTGCACTAAAAATTAAACGTAAATCCTAAGGCAATGCTAAAAAGTAACGAGTCCCTTTCTTCCATGTTAAAATATTTAGATATCGAGACTAGTTAAGTAACGAAACACGAAAGATAGTGCTTAGGGGCATAATCACCAAAAGAATTAGGCAAGTGGGGCTGCTTAGCGAGCCATTCCTTGATGATCTCGAGATCTTTGTCGCGCGTTGCCACGTTTTCGTTCAATTCCACGCGGATCTTCTCCGACATCTCCCCTGTCGGTTGTATCAGCAACATCTGAAACATGATCACAGTTAGATGTGTCTATATAATTTGACATAATAGTTCGGGTCGTACGGAGCTATTGGACGCTTTGAAACTTCGAAAAGATTGAGAAACACTGTGCCAGACAATGGAGATTTACTGTAACTTTTCTTGGCGACGGTAAATTGATCCACGAGCTGAAAACTATCGCTAAGAAGTTGATAAATCGCGATAGAACACCGGGAATCGATCGAGAAACGGTTACCTTCGGTTGACATAAAAGGTGTTCGCCTCCTGCATGTCAATGCTGGACCACGCGCGGATCCAATGATTTTATATAGGGAGCTGAAGCTGAGAAACTTGGTCGGGAAGAGTTAGAAAAGACAATAGGCAAACACTAGAATTAGAAAGCCATAACAGCCTCGTGATGAACGAGCCAACGCAAAACAGCCCCTAACTAGAGGACTCTTGCAGTATCGGTTTCTATTGCAAGTGTGCAAGAGTGCAATTGTGATGCCTTTGCGAAACAAACATTTTTTTTCTCCACATTCTAATAATAGCCAGTAAGGAAGCTAATCGGCGACAGGTAATATGTCAAGTATGACAAGATGGGCCATTAGAGTATGTTGATTATGCTATGCAGTCTTGCATTCGAGGGGACAGCTTGCGCAATTAATTAGAAAATACATTGTTTCCTGCAGCGTCATAGACGTTTGATAAAGATAATCATAGGTACGCTAAGAAGCATACTTTCAATTGCTTCAGGGGACTTTCGTTGGTGAGAATCACGTCGAATTTTTATCAAGTACAGAATAGTTACAAAAGTACTAAATTGGTAAATAGAAATGGAAGAATCATAAATTTTTGAATTCTATACAAGTGGATGTCCTAGTCCACAATTTGTACTGCATCGAAAGGGATACTTTTATAAATATAACAAAATTTAAATATATTAATATTTAATTTATACCAGGATTCTATTATAACAAACTTTACACTTGTATGTATTTAATACGATAGTCAGTTTGCAACGAAACCAAATTATCTTTAGACAATGGAGGGGTGAAACGAGGTCGAAATCACGAGCATAATACATAGCTGCTGCAGTGGTGCACGTGTAACGCGTAATGCGCACTGTAACGGGTTGCGCAAATAGTCGAGATATACATCGGTCTTATGTGAGAAATTAATGCTGACCAGAAGCAGCTTGCTCAACGCTAAACTTTCTCTAACTCGTCACGGCTGGCCGAGAGGAACCAGTATTTCACTTTTTCTTTCAGGATACAGCGATCGCCCGTGTCGCGTCTCCGCGACTCTCCTAAACGTATTTCAAGATTAAAATTAAAGTTCAGACTACTCTGTGTCAATAATGATCGTTCGAACAAACAGTTACTTTCTTCGCGAGTGGATACCCTAGGTGAACGTTTACGAAACTTTTTACGATGTACGTTTGTGGTCTTTATAGTCGTTGCTCAACGCGAAGGATCAGTTGTAGCGTTTGTTGTGTATTTAAAAAAATTAATGGTGGGGACGATTGCAATTCAGTTTCAGAGTACTATACCGCGATCGATGCCAAGACACCATATCAAAGATCTTATCTGACCTTCCCTTATCAAACGTAAAGAGACATGCATACAATCCACGTCAGTTTATGACTCAAGCGTGCAATTTGGGTATAGATCAGTGGCAAGTGTTCGAACGCGCTGATAGGGCTTATCAATGTCTGCGTTGCTTCCCACAGAGGATCATTTACTGCAACGTCTATTGTTCAATCATGGAATGACTTGACTCGTATCTATCCTTGTTCCAGGAGCCCTGATAATAGCAGAAGGCTTGTCACAGAGCAGTGAGCTTGATTTTTATGACGAGAAAGAAACGCGAGGCCTTTGCACCGCAAAAAAACGCGGGTATTGCCAAAGACCGTCCTTGGTAAAAACTAAAATTGGGCAACGCTATGGAAAGGTGCCTTAGGAACGTGACAGGGTAACGACGTGCGCTGTCATACTCGAGAGGAAAATATACCCGTCAGTCGTGGTGAAAACTTGAACATCGTCTCTCAAATTTAATTCTTACGTGTACTTTTCCTTAAAATAAAAAGGAACTCAATTCGTACGGCAGAGTAACGCCTCGAGGCACGTGTTTTCAAAGACGACTTAGTTGTCTACTATAACATAGTGGCTCGAGAAGAAGATTTAAAACGTGTGCTAAACTTTCTAATCACTTTCCACTTTGTATGCATAAAATTCGTCGAATGTTCCAAAAGCTACCGTGTACACTTTCACTCCTATTTTTCCACAAAGCCTACTATACTTCGACTGTACTTTCTTCGCAAACTATAGAAAAATCTGTTTTTGAAGCGCAATGAAATAAATACCAAGCTATCCAATTTGGAAGCCAATTTTGTGAAAGACGATGTAGTTTAATTTTTTCATTGTCTAAAGAGAATATCAAAAGTATTTTAAGGAAACTAAAAAATGCTATAAACAATAACCATCTGCCGATTTAATCTATTCGAGTAGATGCAACTTTCGTGGTTCGCCAGTTACTTAGTAATCGGTCATTCGGTTTTTGGCGTCGCGAGGACGCTTCTCGATCTGATTCAACGAGAGTCTCCTCTCTATGGGTCAATGAAAGTTACATGTCGTCTGGGAACGTCTTACCTTGATCAGCTGCGAGGTAACGTTGGTCCTGATGACGGCACGGCAGGGAATCGGGAAGAGAACGATCGACGACGACGAGGTACGACCGGTCACGGAAAGAGAAATGCAAGAAACTCGCGTGGCGAACCGAAGAGATGGAGAACGGTCGAAGGAGTGGGAACGATTACCTCTTGGACCGGTTCTCCTTTATATCGTGGGATGCCCCACTCTCAATTTTCTCTCCGCGAGTCACACGGAACCAGGAACACCTGGTCGCAATCGATACACGAACGCCAAACGCGCTGGACGCGATTTTTCATCAAACGCGTGCTTTGTTTCAGGAATCTTATCGTAGACCGATAACGAGTCGTCGGGGATTCTTTGGAGTTTCGCACCTCTTGATCTGTACCATTCGATCCAAGCATGAGGAACTCCATTTTGTTACAGTGTCGCGGGCCACGTGGACGCAATCTTCGAACTGTTATAATTAAAATTCTAGAGGTCAACCAAAAAAAAAAGATAAAGTACATTTGACGAAGTACTATGAAGTATCGAAGATGAACCTACTATAAAAATAACACTGCTAATGTACCTAAATCATTATTATTAGTATCGTTACCAATTAAATTCCAGTTCTTCTGTTCCCAGTGACAGTTCATTTACGCGAAAAACAGTCTCGATAAATGGCACGGCTGGTAAACAACGCGCGTAAATGACCCGAATTAATTTCTGTCCACGTGAGTCGTTTATCGTAACATTTAGAAGGCTGTGAAAAAGATCGATGGACAGATTTTTAATATAATGTAATTGCTGGTATTAGCGTGGCATGATTGGCTTGAAAGGTAATGAGCAAGAAAATTGCGACACCAGGGAAGATGCTGTGACATCGCTTGTGAAATATTAGCGTAAAACGACGCGAAAATGTGCAGTGTAAACTACGAGTCTCACCGAAGACTATGAAATTCTTTGTAGACATTGGAATACGAACGTGTGTTCTACGTTAACTGTTTAATTTCTTATTTAATTATCTATGTTTAATTTGTAATCTTATTCTCCTTAATAGGGACGCGTTTGATCTTCCAACCTAAAAGCAACTTCAATGTTCCATCCGTTTAATTTTTCATTTATAAACTCACCTCAACTTTTTACTTAAAAACCTCCCGTACTTTTGCCACCAAGTTAATTATGAAACTTTTAACTCTTAAGCTTCTCGTAACTCTCACATTTCCAGATTCTTTTTACTTCTTGATGTGTCCCCAACGTTACAGAGTCGAATGCAAACCGAAAACAAATTACTGGAACACTGTACAATTAATTTTGAAGTTGGACGTTTCTAGAAATGAAAATTAGATCGAACGTTGCGATTAAATGAAAACCCGGGAAAGCAATGGCCACCGACGAATTTTAGAAACTCCTGAGATCGAACGATTGTGTAATTCCAGAGTAGGAAGTAACGTAGCTGTGCGAGGTGCATCGTTTTTCCACTGATAATCATCGAAATGGGTCATTTCGACACCTACTACGCTTCTGTTACGGACACTAGTTTATGTGCGTTACGAGGTCAATTAGGAAACCTTGCACCAATCCCAGGTATCCCATATTAGATATTTATTATTTTTCGAAAAATTGCGGTATAAATTTACGAAATGAATAGATTAAATTACAAAATTAAATTTTGATGGTGAAAATCATCGGTAATAGCCTTTTTAGCCAGCAAGGGCAAACGTGACAACGATCGATGCGGCTGTGCTAAAAATCGCTGTGAATTTGTTTGCTTTCTTCAGGTCTGACGAGTTTTTCTCTTTTGGCGATTCGTCCCTCTTTTGATCTTGCTTCGTTTCCAACTACAACCAATCCGTGAATCAATATTCGTGCACTGGTCATTTGTAATTAATTATGAATTAATGATTTACCTTGGCATTCGAATCCTCAGGTTTCTTAGGCTCCTCCACCTGCAAATCATTTCCAAAAATATGGTTAGTATTTTTTGTTTCATTTATGTAACGTCCCACACGAGCAATGTTTACACCATCAGCTATCGCAAGCGTAAATAAGAAATATGTTATTATAACAGTTAGTTCACGAGTCACCGAGCTTGACGCGGTAGTGAAAGCGAATATTTACCTTTCGCAACTTTAATACGCGAACTAATGCGCTCAACAATTTATTGTTTAATCGTGAAATGTCTCACCTTAGCATTTGATGAGTTCGTTTTGTCGTCATTCGTCTGCTCCTGGACATTAACATATTATTACATATTAGATTGCATTCAAATGTCACGAATATCATTAATTGCTAATCTATTTTGTTCAGGTTTATTTCTTTCGAACGTTTGAAATTGATTAATACGCGAGCGAACGAAAGTATTATTGAGCAGATGGCTAAAAATTGAAGGATCGTAACGAGTTGCATTCACGAATTACAGCGAACTGCACATGCTGTTATGCGTGATATCGATTCGTTGTATACCTGTTAAACATGTTAGAATTTTAACTGATTTATCTTATACCCCCAAAGGTCATGGTTAATATCAGTTTGTTATATTCATGTCGCATCGAAGCCATTAATTTAAATTTCATGTAAAATGTCGATATGGAATCGATCTTTTCAGGGAAGCGTAACGTCAGAAAATTTGGATTATCGTCATTAACGAATCGATGTAAGAAAACTTTGGAACGTTAGATGCGTTAGTCAGTTTACCAATTTACGAATTACAATTAAAGAATTAGTAAGCTCTTATTGAGTTGTCTCTAGTCGAATGTCAATAGAAAAACAATTAGAAGAATGACAGATCGCCCCTTGAATAACTGATAAGATTCGTGTTTCAAACTTTCCCAGCAATTATTTTTCATCGCTGCGTGGAACTATTAAATTATGCCACTCGATCGAACAGAGCGACAAGAATTTCGAGGGCGTCATTGATGGACGCAATTTTCTCAGGTTCAATGTCTAGGTCACTATCGAGGAACGCTATTTATACTCGGCAGCAGTTTACGTCAAGTATTCTTGGACAGTTTTAAACTGTCGTCATGCAGGTCAACTAGCTTGCAGCTGTTACCGAACACGTCCATTGCCGGACTTCGATGTCCATTTATTATTTAGTGGTAGTATGTAAATGTAGTATTCGTAAACAATTACGAATTAAATAAAAATTCTTAGTTTCAAAAAAAAAAAAGAAAAAGAAATGAAAGAAAGCGTTGTCTTTGGAGCAGCAAAGACGGTAAAATATGGATATGGATTGAAACTGTTTTCTATATTATAATACTCTAAATTTGTACTAATTTTTATGGGAGATTTTTATCAAAATATCACTTTTTAATCGCAGTATTTAATTTCTTGCTCACCACTTTTTCTGGTTCTGCTGCGTTTCGCGACACCCTTCTGAAGAATTCGTCCTGAGGGATGATCTTCAGCTGGGCGATAGGAAGCTGAACGTCTTCGTGGCGACGAATCTTGCATCTCAGGTCCTGGCAGCTATTTGGAATAGTGTTCCTGATGATCGTAGGAAGATCCCAAATCGTCGTGGCCTCGTGCAACATCCTCGAGGCTGGTCCTTGGGCGACGAACGGTATTGCCTTTGCATCGTGCTTGCAAACGCCAGCTATCACCAAAAGCGTGTCTTGCGACAGCTTAAGAAACGTAGATTAATTAAACTTCAACACCAATAAGGATTAAGAATAACCGAACACTTTTCAGTGTGATACTAATTTTCAGAGATAAATTATTTTTCACAAATAAAATTATTTTTCAAATCAAGGACTGCACATAGTTTAATTTCTGTAAATTTTCAGGTCGGTTCTTGTTTTTTGGGAAGAGTAATCGAATTGTACGAGCAACTGCGTAATTTACCTCGCGTTGCAGGAACTCCCAAGCTAAATACAGTTCGCTTGGCGACACCGTGGCGACCAAAATGAAGCCCTTCTCATTTGGAAGCGATTTGAGTTCGGTAACTACGTCAACCAAATTGGTTGGCACGGGATGCGATTTGCGAGGGGGATTAACGAAGTCATCCGGAGCACCGACACCACCACGGAAGGATTCGAGCAGAGAACGGAACAGGGCGATTCTTATTCTGGAGAACATGTCGAAGACGTTCGATGCAGGGTCGCCCAATCCTATTCACGAGAAAAAAGAATTCAGTTGGATCGCTCGCAGATTTAAAATGAAATTCGATTACATTTACAATGGTGAAAATTGGAAGCATTGTTGGCTGATTATTATTCATTTGCAATTAAATATTGATAAACAGTAACGAATTTTCGACTTTTTGATGGATTGGTAGGTAATTGCAAATTTCAACAATTCATATTTTAAAATATAATTAAATTTCGGAATAAATATAAAAAAAAAGTTTCGTTTCGTTGTTGTCTGTAAGGTGATATCTTTTTAAAAATTGATGAAACGATGATGTCTAGTCTCAAGGAACAAACCAACTCACCGTCCTCTCGTTTGTTTCGCTTATACGCCAGCGAAGAGACGCGATTGCTCGGCTTCCCTATATCGATCACATGCCAGTCACTTCGACTTTCCGGTTTAACTTTGTGAATTTTCGACTTGGCGTTGTTCTCGTCGGTCTCGTCGAGTTCTTTCGAGATGTCCACCGACTCCTCGTAGCCGAACATCGACGGGATCGTGAAATTCGAGTTGGACAACGTGCCTGAATAAAATATGCATAGAGTCTACACTTCACAAAAATCAACTTGGAACTATTTGGAAAACTTCGAAAGTAGCTTTCCACGATCATTTATGACTCGTTCCCTGAAAGTTACTGCTTCCCCTCCTGCCCGATAACTTTGATCGAGTTTCCTTTAATTCGTTGAAAATTAAATTGTTTTATTCGACGTCAGCCAGCATGGGAGAAGAATTCACTACGTAACGAAAGCGAAGGCATGGAATGTATAGATTGGTCTCGAGAATCCTGCCGCGAGAATTCTCGTGAATCTTTAATAAATTCCCATTCCCGTTCCTGGGGAAAACAATTTTGAAACGTTTCCAAAATTCCAGATTTTCGGACCACGACGAAAGTTAACTGGAATATATCTGCATACGTTTCAAACTATACGTTTGCTGCGTAATATAAAGTTTCCTGAAAGGAATTTCTGGATTGTCTTTTAATAATACAATGGTGGATACATGAAAATAAAATCCAGAATCGCCAGAAATTTAATCGAAACGCGGACAAAGCGTGTTGGAACTTCACCTATTGTCATTCCTTTGACGTCGCGGGCCCAGAACAGCAACGAGGCGATATTCGAGCGTAGGAAGTGCTCGCAATCGCATTTCTTGTCCTTGTTTCCAGAAACCAATGCGTCGTCCAAGGAGAACCGCGTCGCGTCTATGTCAGTATTATAGCAGCTCTACAACAGATATCATTGAACGTTCCTGTAAGAGACGTAGATATGCACTGGGGGGATAGAGTCAAGTTCAATACACGTACAGTAACGTGCAAAAATCTATCTGTACTAACAAGTACGTAAATTTTGCTAAACGATGAATCCATGAAGGTAACGTTAGCTTATTTATGTTACTAATATTATCCTTCCTAGGACCTCCTCTCACCTCTCAATTTTATTTGACTACTTCAATTTAAAATTTACTTCAATTTCGATGATACAGTTAATACTTCATTAACTCCTTCGAGCCTTTAGGTGAAAGACTATCGATTAGGTTACCTCCGTACAGTCAAAATACCGCAGACATTATAATTTCATTGCACCGAGACTTTAAGACATTTCTTCAATAAACAGGTGAATAGTTTCCTTGATTCCTTCGCAATAGATAATAAATAAATACCACGACGAATCCTTCGACGGGGAACGAGTGCAAAGCCTTCAAGTCCTTCCAAACGTTCTCTCGATTCTGTCCTGAATCTGCGATCAAAAGAAGAACGACGTTCTGTGGACTGGAAGGGACGCTATCGTTGATCACGTTCTCGTCCACAGGACTGGTTCCAGGATCTTTGACGATCTGCACGGGATGCTCCTCGATTTCGACGTTTTCCAAGATGAAGGCTGACCTCCTTTCGCGCGTCGCGTTCTCAGGACCCATCTGCTCTGCTGTCTTTGTTGTTGTCGGTGTATCCGAGGTTTGCAGGACCTTGTCGATACCTGACGTCTTCTCGCTCGAGGCCTGATCGACAGTAATCTTCTGCTCCGGTTCCAGAGACAGGGCTACGTTCCACGCAGAGCTGAGGTTCTCTGCGACAAACAACAATTTCATTTTTTTTTTTTTCAATCGAGTGCATTTTCATCTTAAAAAAATTAGACCTGGCTACTCATATGTTAAAGTTGATTAATTGTGTAAAACGTATCGTGTTTGCATGGTAAATATTATATTATACTTTTGGAAGTGAATAATCATGTACCTGAGCGTTTCGCGGTGTACCCTAAGCAAGGCAACGCCAGCACCATCACGGCGCCCAGCAAAGCCATCAACGACCAACCCTGCAGCATTGCGCAAATACCAACGATCTCTGCTTCGAATTGGATTTACTTAGCTTCCTTAAACTAGTCGATGGTTCTTATATTTCCAGACAGTACGATCCTATTTCTGGCTAAATATCTGTCGCGGAAAATTGAACGCGTCTGATCGCTCGTTTTCGCGAAAGGCGACTTGATGGTTCTCGAATCAACAAAACACGGTTGTACGAAACAAAGAAAGCAGCCAATTTCAAACGACGCGCTCCTCTTCCACGAGCTACTCGCGACCGCTGTTCCGCGTGCCTATTTTGTTTTTCGAAACGAGGAATATCATAGGTACACGAATTTCATTGTCCGATTGGTACGTGTGTATGTGATACACGGTTGCTTTGTCGTTGTTCGCGAATGCCTCGCGATTACTTTAGAAGAAGCTGTCTCCATTTCTTGTGTGTTTCTTGGGAAAGAAAACTTTTGCAAGAAAGTGATTTAATTAATCATAGCTTCATCGCCTCGATTCCTCTATGATCATTTAATGGTGTCAGGGTTGTTCCAGGTAAACTCGATAATAAGCATACACGAGCTCGTATCTATAACGCAGCCTAGATACTCCGTTCTTCTTTGGATTTCTTGTCAACTTTGTCGATCGGGAAACGATCATGCACTCGCGGAAATGCGTATATGTAGATCGACGCAATCTATAGCGAGGCAGGTGGCAACGTTGTGTAACGTTATATTCTTGCCAGGACAAAGTTTATTTATTGGTACAACTGCTCCGCAGGGCTTTAAAAGACGAAAAAGAATCCACTTTGGAAATCTCTATCTAACATAAAAAGAGACTCCAAAAATATGGCCAACGGAAGTCAGAGCGATGAAATATCATAGCTGTCACAGTTTTCACCGCGTTCATAAAATAAACAAGGTCTCCTGGCGGCTACTATAGCTAAAATTGCTTCGATATTCGCCATCGAACAACACTTCAACGCATCCGCGATACATTTGCATTATTAATGCATACCACGTAAAGCTCAACATCGAATCAAACAATTTCACGTTTATTATTCGACATATATCGAATTACAATTCGTGCAATGTTTTACAGTTTGGCGAGTACAAGAGCCCCCTTGAATGAAAGATCACGCGGTTCCCCGTGCTCCGAACGAGCCAAGCTCCGAGATTTCCGAGTGTGGGGGGTAACGGACGAAATTCTGAAGCAAAGATAAAACAACGCGGGGACTCAACCGTGGGAATCGCGACGACGCGAAGAAAGTTTCTAGAACGTCCGTTGTTCGAGACTTTCTTAACGGCGGCAGCTTTTCCCTTTCGCGTGCTCGCCAACCCCTCCTAGGCTGGCGATCGGCGGGTGCAGTCGTCGAAATCTGAATAATTGATACGATTACAAAGCTCCGCGTCGACGATACAAGAAACAACATGGCCACGACAAGCGGCCAGCAACGTCCGCGGACGTCTGCGCCGCGCGGTACCCTGCGCCTATTGGTCCACGTTTGGTACCCCGTCCAGCTTGGAGGGGCTTCACCACGGCGACAGGTGGTGGCTCCCCGTCAACCAAAGGGGGTGGTGGAAACAAGAGGAAAAACGTCGAGGAACCCCTAGTCCTGGCGGTCGAGGGTCAAGCCTGGCCTGTCAGTTTTCATCGATACCGCGTGCCCCTGCCTGCTCGCATCGCGATTCTGTTGGTGAACTCGCGTGGAGTTCGCGTTTGCATTGTGGATTTAATCGCCGCGACCACCCAACGGCCTCAAGGTGAGAAACTAGATTGGACCGTCGGTTGCGATTTCGTGATTTTTACATGGATCTAAGTTACTGCTTTCGACCCTGGAACGCAGGATGGTCCAAAAGAGGAATTGACACTTTGATTGGGGGGTGGTGAGTGGTTTGGCGTCCGTTCGAGACTTTCAAGGTGTCTCTTCTTGGCCTGGTGACTCGTGTCAAGTCTGTTGGTCGTGGTACACCATGGGTGTCCTCCGATTTAGCGTCTAATGTGCAATGTTGTGTCTATCTGGAGCTTCGTAGGTGCTTTATAACTCCTTCGACAAGATGACGATTATTCTACATACTCTGTTCAGGTTGATCTCTGATCGGTAACTCGATCGTGACTTTAAAGATATCTTACCTCTCCTTCATACTTTGAGGATGTCTTCCTTCGGACTGATGTCCAACTTAAATTATTGTCCAGGTCGAATGTTTGAATATTTTTATGAAAACGCACAGCTTGATCCTCTGTTTTAACGCAGCAATGTCTGGTTGGAAGTGGTTTTGATAACTTGACACTCCAGTGATGTCTTTGTAAGTGGGTTAGGGCGACGTCTTTGCGGTTTGTTCCGTTTGTGGTCACAAGCAAGTTGGCGCCGTCAAAAAGTCCTAATCTCTTGCGGTTGTTCTACGTGCATAAATTGTTAGAATTCGCTAACAAGGAGCTGAGAAAGGTTCTGTAGCGAGGGGCCATTTTTTTGGTCACTGTCAGAGCCATTTTACCATTTGTAATACATACAGTATTATATACTTGGCTAAGAAAATACTGTTCGCACTCTATGAATTCGTAATTCGAAGAAACTTTCCACGGAAGTCAATAGACGATGAAAAAACATGCGAAGGCAAAATTAAGTACGGTACTCATTAATTATGTCGCAAGGCCGTGAACTTCGATTAGCAACAATTCGCAAACTGTATCTACGGCTCTACCGAATGTAATTGAAGTCCGAGGACCAATGTTTTCGTGAATTTTATCGATCATTATTCTTTACACCGCGTACACATAGAAGTACGATCAAATTAATTAAGAAAATGGAAGAATTGCTAAACGTTAACGATTTAATGGAGGATTTCGACAATTGCAATTCATAATTATTTAAATGGTTATTTTAGATGATGAAGTTCAATCAACAGGGCCTAGTCGCGGACTTGATGCCCAATATAAGGCTGATGAAAGCTTCTGGGCATTTTCTGTTTAATTACTACGATGACAACTCCACGAAGTTCATCCATAAAGTCTTAGCTATCGTAAGTATCGACCACGAAAAAAGTGATCAACGTACACTCTAGGAAGCCGAACAATCTCTTTTCCATTCTTGAAAAGAGACGTTCTCGTAATTTTCGATGAGATTCAAAATGAAATTAATCGATCCTCAGACTCACTTAGTGTTGGTCCTGATGCAATTCGGATTCTGCGGAATAAACCTGATGCTGGAGAGCGACGACGTGGACGTCCTAACAGCGAACACGATCACCATGCTGTTCTTCACGCACAGCGTGGTCAAGCTGGTCTATTTCGCGGTCAGGAGCAAACTGTTTTACAGAACCTTCGGCATATGGAACAACCCCAACAGCCACCCCCTGTTCGCCGAGAGCAACGCTCGGTACCATCAGCTAGCCGTGAAGAAGATGAGAATACTGTTGATGGCCGTCATGGGGACCACGATCCTCGCTTCGATCTCCTGGACTACCCTCACCTTCATCGAGGAGCCTGTGAAGAAGATCATCGATCCTGTCACCAATGAAACCACCTTCGTCGAGGTAACGTACACGATATTTTCCATAATAAAAAACACTCTTGCAAGGAATTAAAACAAGAATTATTTCAACCCCTTCGTCCTCTCGTCACTCTACCAGATACCGAGGTTGTTGGTGCGCTCCTGGTACCCGTACGACGCGAAACACGGAATGGCGCACATATTGACGTTCATATTCCAATATTACTGGCTGCTGTTCTGCATGCTGGATGCCAATCTCCTCGACGTGCTGTTCTGCTCCTGGCTGCTCTTCGCTTGCGAACAAATCCAACATTTGAAGAACATCATGAAGCCTCTTATGGAATTCAGTGCGACACTGGACACCGTCGTGCCTAACAGCGGTGAACTCTTCAAGGTGAGCTGACTCTAATGCTTGATATAATACGAATTGTACTTTCGATCGTTGTGACAGCAAGGAAATGCTTTTCCTAAAGAGATAAATATACGTGTTCTTCTCTGAAAATTAAATGGCGACGTCTGCGCTCCTCAGGCTGGCAGTGGAGAGCACATCAGAGATCCTGATCAAGCACCCCCACCCACACCCCCACAGGGTGAGAACATGCTGGACATGGATCTTCGAGGGATATACAACAACAGACAGGATTTCACGGCTACGTTCCGACCCACCGCTGGAATGACGTTTAACGGGGGCGTGGGGCCGAATGGGTTGACGAAGAAACAGGAAATGCTGGTCAGAAGCGCCATCAAGTACTGGGTGGAGAGGCACAAACACATCGTCAGGTGAGTGCCTTGATTCCAACGTGTTACACCATCTTTACTTAACACTAAATCTACAGTCCATTCCTTCATTTAAAATTTTTAAATCAATATTTTCTTCTTTCTTATTCACTCCAAAGTATTTTGCGATAATTCTCCTTCCAAGAACAGTTCACATTAATTTCACCCCAATGGAGAAATCGAGCGAAAGATACACCTTTCGTTCCCTTAAAGTTTACATTCGTTCGTATACCTTTCCAATTACTCGACTAAAAAACCATGGACAAAGTTTGATTTTTCATCCATTCGCCACGAAAAGTTCCCCGGCGAGCTGCATTAGTTCAGATCACCGAAGTTTCCAGCATCGTCGAGACAAGATAAAATTTCTGGAATCGAGCGAGGTTAAATTACAGTCGGTCGCAATTTCAAAGTTCCTCGCCATGACGAGTGCCTCGACTACAGTATAACCCAGTTTCCCATTTCGATTCTCATCTGGAGGTCGCTTCTACGCAGAAACGTAATCTACGGCGACAATGAGAGGACCTCGCGCCTTCGCGAACCCAACAATGAGAGACTTCCATTAGGATAATAATCCCTGCCGCGTACATACGTAAATTTGCGGAACTTCGTTACATCGTACACCGTCCGACGATGCCTGTTTATGTACTTCCACGACTGTTCCTTGCAGCTCCATACTGCCTCAAAAATAAACGAACGATAACGAACAAAAAATACATTTCACGAAACAAGGATTTCGTTAATAATATTTATTTGAAAGGTTGCAATTTTTTGAGCCAAGTATCTCGAAAGTTTGAAAGTATTTTTCTCCTAGCTCTTCTACCGCATAAATCCATTTCTCCCCGACAATACCCGCTCCAACCTCCTCCAACCGCCCACCTAGAAAACGCACTCACGAAACTCCTACTTCAAGATTAATTCTCTCGAATACCGAATGACGAAAGAACCCAGAGTCGAAACAGCGTCGAAGCCAATAACTTCGCGAAATTCGAGGGCATTGTATTCAGTTTCGAGCAGCGAATTTCCGTCGTGGAATCTTTCGAAACGAAGAAAATGCATTCGCGCGAGGCTCGAGCAAAGTTTCGAAGAAGAAACGGAAACCGTATGGCGTTTCCTATAGGTTCTTCGACGGCGGAGAAACAGTAGCTGCGCGTGTTCCCACGGTGGTGAAGTATTTATTCTAAGAGAGCGCGATATTGACCGCAACTGGGGACATACCGCGCGGCCTGAACAGTTTATTGGACAATTCAGGGGTTGTACGTTCACGTGTACGCCGATATACGTGTCTAACACGTGTGTGTACGCCAGTGTACGTGTCTAACACGTGTGTGTACACGTTTCTTTCGCGGCGCGGACGATGCACGAACCGTAGAGCACGTCCGACGTTTGCCCTTCGAACTCCACGCGAATTCCTGATGAAGGGATTCGTGTGGAAAATATTGGGCGAGGACCTGTTGCCCACCGACCATGAATACGAACCCTCGAGTGACGAAAATTTAACCCTTTGCACCCTTGGCGCGCGAGCGTTGCAAAATGTATGAAGAGAAGTGGAGCATAGATCTCCACTCTATTAAAGAAAGAAATTTAAATAAATGTTTCGTTATAAATATGTGCATGGATAAACTTTACACTTGTACATGTACCAAGAAAAATTTATTCGAGACCATCGAAGAATTGAATAAATCAACTTCGAAGATGAGAATTTTGCGAGGACATCAAAATAAATGCAAATACAAATTTAATAAAAATAAGTTCCATCGTGTGGAAACGAAGTGTCAGGTATATTACAAAAATATTAGTCTGGGAGTGTTAAAGAGATATAAATGACGTAGCGAGGAGATTAAAAATACTAAGAGCGTTAGATGGAAACAATGGCGTCGTGAAAGATAGCAGCGTTAAAGGAACAGACGTACCGAAAGAATATGAAACTATTAAGGGGGATAAAGGTATTAAAGGTGCGAAGGAAGTATGCCGGTGTAGGAGGGAGCTGAAAATGTTGAAGAAATGAATATTCAAGCGAAATAACGAGATTACAGAAACGAAGACGTTAGGAAAGTAGCTGAAATTTTAAAGGGGTGGAATTACAAATTTAGTGTAGCCTGACTTGGAAGTATTAAAATAGTTACTAAAGCAGAGCCATTGAAAAAGTGATAATACGACGATTGAAATGAGATATGCGTTGTTTTAGGTATAGATACTATTATTCCGTGGTTTTAATCATTCTCTTCCAGGTTGGTCACTGCGGTGGGAGATGCTTATGGCGTTGCTTTGCTGCTACACATGTTGGCCACCACTATTACGTTAACACTGCTCGCTTACCAAGCAACGAAGGTAAGTTATCATTATCATATCTTCTGCGAGAAAGTAAATAAATTTAGTGTTCCTGAAGCTAGTAATTCGATTATGATTTCATCTTCCTTGTAATGACCTTATGTAACAAATAAAAATGAACAGGGATTTATAATTAAATTGAACGTCCCTATTTTCTGTGACACAAAGAGTAAGACTACAATTTAACTCACAGGTGAGCGGAGTTGACACCTACGCAGCGTCCGTAATAGGCTACCTGTTATACTCCCTTGGACAAGTTTTCATGCTCTGCATATTTGGCAATCGTCTAATCGAAGAGGTACAGCCACTAACGCAACTCAACATATAAATATAATATAGGATATAATATATTTTATATAAGAAGACACTGACTTTTTCTATGCATTGTACACAGAGCTCGTCGGTGATGGAAGCTGCCTACTCGTGTCACTGGTACGATGGTTCAGAAGAAGCCAAGACGTTCGTTCAAATCGTCTGTCAACAGTGTCAAAAGGCGATGTCAATTTCGGGAGCCAAGTTTTTCACCGTCTCCTTGGATCTTTTCGCTTCGGTAAAGCTACTCTTTCATCGCCTTTCCATATTCGATTCAAGCACGCGTTTTTTTAGTGCTGACTAAACACAATTTCGACATGAAACTTTCTAGGTGCTGGGAGCCATGGTTACCTACTTCATGGTGTTGGTGCAACTGAAGTGAACACTCGTGGCCAGTCACATCAGGAATGAAGAGAGTTTGGAATGTTCGTGTGTGCGTGGTTGCAATTGTCAAACACGAACCCCGTACTTTGCAACCAATTTATTAGAAAACGGTTGGCACGGATTCAGATCGAACCTGCGTCAGCGGGATGCGGTTAACATCGATCTCCGTCTTCGAATACTTCGTACAATCGACTAATTGGAAATTCGGAAAATAATGTCTCTAAACGAAAACAAAAAGAAACCGAATTCGAAAGGAAATTGTGTCCTGTTTAAATAATCGCGAGAAATACGAAGCTCTACGAGCAGGATTACGACCAATCACATGACGGAGCTAAGAATAGTAATTCGCTCGACTGCGATGGTAAGCTTAATCCTTTGGGGAATTAATTCTCTCGTCTTACTTTACTTCAACGAATTATTTCATAGCAATTATTATCAACACACTGTTTATATACTTCACGGTTCTTTTACTTCTTCGAAGGTCGCAGGAGATCTTTGAAACTGCTATTAATTGATTACTTCGAGTTATCAAATTTGCAAGAAATTATAAATATCCTAGAGTATCTTGTCCGGAGTCTCCAAAGGATTAACGATAATTTCTAAAGTAAAATGTAAAATACTAACGATAACCTTTTTTTATTAGTGTTAATTACGTAACGTTAGAGTGAAAATTAAAACATAATATGTGTAAGTGGTAACTCTTAAGAGAATTAGTTTTGAATTATGCTGCACGCAATGTCCGAGGGAAACAACAAACGGGGAATATTACGCTGAGAATAGAATTTTATCTACGTTTGTTTACGGATGTACTCTTTGTACAGTATACTGTGATGCAATTGCGAGAATGTACTTTACTCGATGCAAGAGACTCGTTGGACATTTTTATCAAGCTTCTCAATTGTTATGGTAAATCTTTCGAGAAGTTGCGCGATAAAAATATACTTGAAAAACTTGCATCTTGACTTTCGGAAGTATTCGCGTCCAAAGGAAATGGGAAGATACTTTTGTCGACGTGTAAATAGACACTGGTAGATTCTTTCGTTAACATGATACATATTTAACAGGTTTCGAGGCACTATAAGATAGCATCATTTATTCTAAAGTGACTTCGCCGTTCAGTTCCTCGCGAAAGGGATTTCTAACTAGACTAAATTGTCCTACATCCACGACGAGTTGTTTTTGATTGAAAATTCTTGAAAAAAAAAAATTAAGACTGAAACTCATCCGTTCGAAGCGATTCGCAATTCGTTCGAAATTGTTAATTTAACGAGTGCTGGACTCTTAACCTTGCATTTTAATCTAATCTGAGTACCGGTAAACGTTTATAAAATTTTACCAGAACAGTATAAAGGTAACGTCTGCTACGACGATTTTGAAACATATAAAATTTAAGCAAACCTATTTATACGTAAACTCGTACCTCAATTTTTACGATTTAATATACATTGTTGTCTACAATACTTTTATATCATTTTTAAGGAAACCGTTGCAATTGTTCTTATCCGATTTCCTTGTATTTTTAACACCGGCGTTAACAAATTTCTGTTCACTCGGAAAACTGTAAACCAACGGTGAAAATGATTTATTCGAATGAAAAAGAATCGAAAATAACTTTCAGAAAATCTCCAAGTGAAATGCAACGAAATTTTATAAGAACAACCCGTAACGTTGCTCTTCTTAGAGTTTAAGAAGATCCATCCACTGTGCACGTCAGTTCCTCTCCGCCGTTAATGTAAAACTACAGAAATTTTACGGCACAAATTTTTCATATTTCACGACGACCGAACGATAGACATAATTTTTCTATGTCTACGGGGATAGTTTACGAAAAGTGCAACGTTTCGATACAATTGTAACAATAATAGCATAAGGGATAGCTTTACATTCGTGATTATTGTACGATTAATCGAATTTTAATATAAACTCTGTATTTGCTGTAGGCGTATCGTAATTGTTGCCTCGTGTAACTTTAAGCAACGACAAAAAGCAATATTAATGAAGTGCATGTTAGCCAACATGGTCATTGATACTGTAATCATATTGTGAACTGAATCGTCAGTATTATAGATGGTTTCTCTCGATGTAAAGCTGTAATATATTTATCTTATAAAATGTTATAAATGTTAATTCTATCGTTTTCGAATCATTCCTTTCCTATGAGTTTAGACCGCTTTCGAAATTACTCACGCGTGATCGATGGTCTGCAATAATTACTAATATCCAGCACTAGTTGCTAGATGGTCACAAATCTGTAGACCGTTTTAAATATCTCCACTGTTGTCGCGAATTAATATCTAAATATAAAATCTAAATATTACTGTACGCATTACAAATGTTAAATTAAATTCAGAGATATTAACTTTCTCAGCCCTCTTCCTTTGTACGGTAAAAAGCCTGGTTCGTCGAGTATCCGGCAGTCCTCCGCGCAACAAAAATTCATTATCGTTGACAAGGGGAGGGAATCATGAAAAAGGGAGCAGACCGCGAGGCGATGTGACGTCGTAGTTTAATATAAATTCTTATATTATATTCTTCGTCGCGCATGCTCAAACGACGGCTTCAGCATCGAAGGACAGTTTCGATCGGCCGGGTTTCGTCGTATGATAAATAGGTCTTCCTGTTTTGCAGCTTCCTTCCTTCCGTCAACCGTAAAACATTCAAGAACAATGAACGCTCGCTTTGTCAGCAACATTCCGCAGGAAACGGCGCGGAATTAAATTCGCGTGCAGAAACCTGGGCCATCCGGAGGAACGAAAACGGTGAGCGTCTGCATACATTACCTTCTCTTCGATATTTCGTGTTTCGACTGTAAACAAATGGGTTAATCTTGCGTTTCATGAAAGCTTACAGTTTCGAAAGTACGACATCGGATTCATGAACGAGGATTCAACCGAGATACGTTTGAATAAAACGATGCGCAGAAACTTTGCCATTCTTATACCTGAAAGAGTTAATAAAAGTCGCTTTGCAGTGCGGAGTGTGATGAAACGATCTTTGGTAAAGAAAATGTGATAAATGCTTCGCGAAGTGGTCGTTCGCAGAAGTTGAATGGCAGAGAAAAAGGAGAGCTACGAGCGTGACCAAGGGAGGTCCTGAAAGTTCTTCAGAAATACCGTCACAGTTGAGATATGAGCGAAGATTTCCGTTAAAATTTAATCTGAAATTATACGCGCATAAATAGGGAAAAATCGTAACGATGAGATAGTTAAAATGGCGCTAAAGTAACTGAATTTCGGTTAAGTAGAAAAAATTACAACGAAATTGAATTAAACCGACACGGGACTATTTCCACAAGAATTTTTTCCTCTGCCTGTTGCTTCTAACGAAGTTTTTATCCGAGAGATCCAACGAACTATGAGTTTGCCAGCTATTTGTTTATACCCCAATTCATTCGAGCCCCAAGCGAGCATAAATTCGTCACCACTGCGATAAGGTTGACGAATATGAAAGCGTAGCGATAGCTCTAACCATCCACTTCAATGAAAAAAATTCATGCACCGAAATTCTCAAACTCCGTCCGCGAAAAAAGAACAAAAAATCATCCAAAATTACGCGAGCGCGTGTCAAGTGAAACTGGACGCGTCGAGGATCCATGGAAAAAAAAAACAATATCACCCAGCTTCCCACACGCACGTCGACGATAAGGAATCACCGTGACGGAAAGAAATTGGCGCGAATCCCCGGCTTGGCGTGCGCACGTGCAGAGCGGCTCCGTCGGTAGCTTCGATCGTCCAGGGGTCGACATCGTCGTCCCACTGGCTTTCCCTCGCGCGTGATTCCCCGCTGGTCTGTTTTCCAGCCAGTTTCCTCGCTTCGTGACAGAACAAGGTGCGTTTACGCGCGGTCGAACGTCACCGAGACCTCACGCGGGATCGTCGTGGCGTCGTTCGCGTTCCTCCTTCTCCCCGGGACCCAGATTCTCTTCATGATCGTCTGATCAGCCAGCGAAACTGGAGACGCGAAGGCGCCGCCACGGGATGCTGGTGTTACTGGTGGACCAGCTCGACGCGGCTCGTCGCGACAGTTCTTCCCAGTCGAGGATCTCGTAATCGCCACGTGACGAGCGTTTCGTGTCGCACGTCGACTCACCTAGACGAGAATCAATGCGGTGTCGCGGGCTCGTGGATCCCGTTTAGGCTCGGGGTGGACGTAGGTACAGCCGACGGGACGAATATTGTGACCGCGAGGAAAGTACGCCGAGGGATGGGGAAAATTTCACTGGGAAAGTTGCACGCGAGGCTTAGGAATCCGTTCGCGACGGTTTCGAGCTGATTCGAACGAATTTCGGTGCGAGGTACTCCATTCTGGATAATTGACGTTTTTACCTCGGGTTAACGAATGAAATTTTCACGAGATGTTTCTGGTTTGTGATTTTATATTTGTTTGTAGTACCGGATGAAGTTTGTTGAATTTTTGTGCTGTGTTGAGGAATGTTGAATTCTTTAAATGAATTTTTGTTGGTCATTGTGAAGTAGGTGCTATAATCTATTCAATATAATTCAGTAAAGTATTTAACTTTAATTTATGTCGTCTTTATGTTGTCTTCGATATTATAAAAGGAATGGGACGAAGTAGTTGTGATAAATTATATGTTATCTTCTAGTCGTTATTTGAATTTTACCCCATCTCTCACTTTTGGGCCACTTGGAACTTTAACCTATTTCCCACCGTGGTCCCATGAGACCCATTTAGGGATTTCTTAATATTTTCAAGATCATTAACACACGCTCCTAATATCAACATACTGTTCCCCGCTTTCTCTTCATCTTCCTTTCTAGATATTCTAATATCTTCGAGGTATTTCATCCCGTTCCCCATGTGCTCCCGTGTCTGAGCATCTCGTCACTTACATCTCAATTCCGAGCCGAAGACATTTCCTTCCCGGCCCAATAAACCAGCCGAGAAACGATATAATCGAAAATCGTTGAGGAAATGGGTTACGGGTGTCCCAAAAGGAGCAGCAGACGTTGAGAACGAGCAGCCCTGCAGGCAACAGACAACCCCATCGGAGGGGGAAAGCTATTTAGCCCACGGCCGACAAGGGTACAGCCTTCTCGAAACTGACTTAACGAGATCACTATATTTGTCCCAGCGACTATACGCGCGAAACTCCGAATCGATCGACGGTTAGACACGGTGCGCGCGGACAGTGATCGTGCAATCATCGATTAAGTCGACGAGGAAATAGGTTAACAGTGTGCCGCGGGAACCGAGAAACCCCGTCGTCGGTAACTCGTCGACGGTAGGGTCCCTTCTCCGTGGAACGGTGGTGCACCAGACCCGTGGGATCGGCGCCGAGGACGCGCGTGCCCGCGGAGGAATCGACGATGACCATTTCTGGTCCTGAGAGCCGCGCTGGATGCGAGCCGTGTTACATAATCGGTGCACGCCGATGCAAAACAAGTCGGGTCAGCGTGACGGCGAGGGGTCGATAAAAATATGGGCGAAGGTTGTCCCGCAACCGTGCGTGATACGTGTACGACAATAAAACAAGCGAACGCGCGGGGGTTTTAATTAGATGTCACTTCGCGATCATTCCTATTTTCGTGCGACTCGGGGGGATTCCCGTGGAGCGTTTAACCTGACGGAGGATAGTCCGTGGACGTGTGATACAGTGATCGAAGAGTATTTTGTTGCGAGTGAGAGCGCAGTGATGAGGTAGAGTACTTTTTGCTCGTGTCATCTCTCGCGCGTCGAGCCAATTACCGAGAGAGTTTTGGGGGGAACACCGATAATCATAGGGACAAAAACCGCGAGCGGCAAGAGGCGGCGAAGCCTCCCGCCGCAGAAGCAACGTCGTAAGTACACAGTCACGTCGTATTAAACAGTATGTGCATGCTTTCCCCATTACACGTGCAATTAACCGTTCGGGTGTAGCTATTTCTGTTCCTCGCTCGGGATAACGCGTTAGATGAAAGATTTGGTGTTATCTCGCGATTTGGGGGATAATTGGACGTACCGAAAGGTGCGAGTTTAATAAAACAGGGACCATGAAAACGTTAGAAATTTTCAATAATAAACAGAAGAACTCCTTTCGTTCGTACTCTGTCAAAGTAAAACTGGATTGAATGAAATGTTTCCTTGCCAAAGCGTCTCAGGAAATGGAATTTTCCTTGAGTAACTGCAGCCTCGCGCCTCCCATTTATCCGCGATAGTTGTAGGACAGGATCATTTGAACCGAGTCTATCCCTCGGAGACATTCGTCGCAGCTGCCAATGAAACCTAGAGCGTGGGTGTTCTCTATCGATACCTAGGATTCTGGGGGTATCCCCCATCGGTTCCCAAGTGTTCTCGATTGGTTTTATCGGATTTCACGAAGCCAACGTTGACCTTATTAGTTTCTTCGACTTGCTCTTATTAGTGTGATGGACACCAATTTGGGTTATAGAAGATTAAGAGGTTGTCCCTATATTGGGCATTTTTATTGAATCCTAGATATTCACAAATTGTCTCTTCCAGGTTCCTCAAGTTTTGTTTTCCTGTTTATCAAGGATCCTTTTTATCTGTACGACTCTAAGATCCCCTATCATCGTGTATCAATTATACTTTATAGCTACAGTTAGAAACTTGTACTTGTGAAAACTCACCCTCCAATTTACATCCCCCAGGTGTCTATTAATGGTTTCACCCTGAAGTTCAGATTAGAAGCAAAACAATTTGAGATATATAGTCCTTAACTTTGCTGATGGGGCTGAAACTTTCCTATCGAAATTTACGTGTCCATGAGTTATCCTCGAGACCTTGAACTTCGATCGTTGTCTCTTAGGAATCTCCCAAGCTTTACTCGGTTTATCAAGTCTGCAGCTATTCCCTATCACGTCCAAACAGTCCTCGATTGCCTACACCGAATTCCCAAGAGCCTGATATTGCCTTATTGGGTCCGAGGAGTCCTCTGCGTCTCCCGTGATCATGTTGAAGATCCATGACGCGAGTCTCTACGAGGAGACGTTTCTATCGCTTATCTACCGTCCCTATCGTGTTTCGCGAATTCAGGATCGCCTTTCTCGCATCCCCTATCGCCCTTTCACGAGGATTTGCTGTCTTCGATGTCAAGTCTCGCGAGCGATCCACGTCTTTATCGTGCCTGGAAGTCGTCGACGCTTTGCTCGATGATTTTAATGTATGCAAAACGAGTGTAAATTGATCGAAGATATAGAAATGAATTTCTTTCGATATTAAACGCTGTTCCTGGATCCTCTATTGAATACTCGTTGCACGGTTTTCCAATTCACCGAATACTCGGTACGTTTAATAGAGATTAAGGAATGACAGGAGCTCATTAATCACAGATGTCTGCGAGAGATTCGTGCGATTTAAATCTCTCCAGGGAATTATGTAAAGTCGACTTATCCGTTCCATACAGGGCTTTAAAACTGCTGGATGAATTTGATTAACGAACCGGTCGATTCTATTTTTACCCTGATTACGAACGCCAGCACATAATTTGAAACTAATATGCAGTGACTGTTTCACCGTTACTTCCCAGAACACACTAGTTAACGTGACATTTCGTTGTTTACTTTAATCGATGGGAACACACACTGCTGTGTCAATTATTTCAAACTTTATCGTACAGAATGTAATACTAGCACAGCTGCCATTGTTTACCATGCAAGAATCGCGCGCCACGTTGTAACAGAGTTGGGCAAAATGTAATCAAGACACCGGATAATAATAACTGTAATTACCATGCAATCGATAATCGTGGCTGAAGGCCAACAGAAATATCCAAAGTGAATTAATCAAAATAATGAATAATGAAACGATCGCGATTCTGGTCACGATTGATTTAATAAGCTAATGGAATGGTAATATTGATAAATGTATATTTACTAATGAATCGAACGAATTACTAATTACGAGGTGTATCGTCGACTACCCGAGCATGATTTACTTTCGGCGCAACTTTTGTTTCGTCTGACAATTTGGAACGCGCTCGTAAATGCTCGTGGTAATAAATAAAACGTATCTACTACACAGTATACTCTGTAAATAATGCGTAACATATCTGTGCATGAATCTCAATCTAAAAATGGAAGTTTAACACGTTGGCTGGCAGGCTAAAAATAATGAAAAAGTTCAAATTTTCTCTCGAGAGTATTACAGATTAAATAATTTAATATCTGTCGTAGTATTTAATATTTTAAGGTCTCCAGATTCATAAATCCAAATTTATTTTTATTGATTCCACGCCGTTGGAATTAATTTTTGTACGTTCTGTCACCCGTTTCTCGCGACCAACGTGTTGAATAAAACGATACAAGAAGAATAAACGAACGTTCAAGTTGAGTCTGTACTTTTCTGTGTTAAAATGTTTCTTCCGTGATCACGGAGAGCAGGGCACTGTCTGACAGTGTCGTTGGGGCGTACGGCTTCCATTTTGGAAAACACTACCCTTAAGCCTTTAGAGCGGTTTAGCGTCGCGCGTCACACGTGGGAACGCAGCCACTGGCGACGGGTTAACCAATTACGAAAGTAATCAAAGTATAATCCAACTCAGTTACGTAACCAGACACGAATGCGTTAACGAATTTGAACGCGGTCCCGATGGATTCGAGGATGCTGGAGACTCGGGGGCATGCCCGTAAATCAGTGTCGTTGATCGCTCGAGTTGCCCGAACTCTGGACCAGCGTTTCTCAACTTTAGCACCTCGTGACCCCCTCGATTGTATTATACGTATCAATGATCACAGCTTCCCCTCATTTCTACTTATTACACTAATTCTGGGACATCCTGTATATTTAATAAACAGAACGAGTACACGCTTCGACGGTCGATCGGTAACTAACTTCGAACAGCAGTGACCACGCAGAGAGAAAAAAGCAAAACAAACACGCTCAGCGTTTGTTCTACATATACATATACATAGGTATACGAATAGAAGAACCAATACAAAATTTATTTTCGGTCGCTTAAAGCGTAGAAAGTAATTAAAACTAAGTTAAGCGAGATTTATTTTGCACGTTTGAGCTGGCAAATCGGAAAACTTGCATTTTATTCCTCGTTTAATTGCGTCTATCGCTCGTGGTCCCCAAGAAACACAGCGTGGCCCACCGAGGGGGCCATGTGGCTCCCGTTGAGAGACCCGAGCAGTCAGTCGAGCTGCGAGCGTCGACCGCGAAGGTTCCTGTGCCACGCAGGTGTGAACCGCTTCTCGCGTTTTCTCCATGTCGTGCCAGGGCGATCGACACCGATGGATCGTTCGAGAAAAGAAAACGACATGCTCTCGGCGCAATCGACCCCCCATGGGAACAAACCACTCTCCCTCGGTAATGAATTTCGACTCGCGCGTGCAAGAGTTGGCCAGTGAATGACCTCTGTGATTAATTAGTGATTAGTAGATACTCTATGCGGGCACAGGATTTAAATGAAAAATTAAATTCGATGAAGAGCAACGTCGACTTACTAATTTTTGTTTGCACGAACGTCTGTTATGTTATTTAACATTGTAACGTTAATTCGTAGCATTGTAGAGTAAATAAAACAGTTTAAATAAAATAACAAAGCTTCACCAGTAGGCAGGGTAGCTTTTAAGGCATCTAAGCTTGAAGAGTTAGGTCAGACTCTGATGTTACATGTTGTATAATAGAAGAAATCAGTGGTTTTTATTAAAAATTGTGATCCGAAAGCAAAGTCACGTGCAAACCAAAGGAACGAACCTTCTCGCTTTGAAGGGAGAGTGGGATTTCTTTAAAATTCAAATCTTCGCTGAAACTCGGTGTTCTCGATGCTTCAACCACGCGGAAAAGCGCAAACGAGCTTGAGGAGCGGAAATTTTCGCGACTTGTGGCTTGAAAGCGTCCGCTGGGACGCGTTTTTTTTTTTTTTTCTTTTAGGCGAATGGAGACTCTATTCGGTGCCTTTGAAGTGGTCAAAGCAAAAACTTGGAATTGTGTGGAGATCGATGAGAAAAACAGGCATTCGTTAAAGTGCATCTTCGTCGAATGCGATAGGAACATTTCTAATGTAGGAGATTTAAGTTAACGATTAACATTGTTTAAAGAGAAGTGTTTTACTAGCGTTGAATCTGTATTCTTTAAATAATTATGACTCCAACTCTACTTTGCTGTAACTATTCTTTAAGTAACGTATGGACTGGTTAACAAATTTCTGGTATTAAATATATTTTCAGTTTCTATTTGTATCCTCTGTGACATCGGCCGTTAATGATTTACTTTCAATGAAAGAAAAAGGCTGGACGTTCTATAATCCGCGCGCGAAACGGAAAATCCTCGATATGCAATCACGTTCCACAACAAAAACTCGACAAATTTCCTCTCGTTCTTAAATCTCTCATTAAACGATTGCACCAGTCAAAGCGTTCCGCGAAACGGTATAAAATCCTGTTCCGTGAACGCCCAAACGCAAGCATTAAAAAAAAAAAAAAAAATACCGATCCATTGATCGCCTTTGTGCCAGAAGGCGCAAATTGCAACTACCATTCGGAATCCCCTCGAATATTCAGTAAAATCCTTTTGTAAAAAAAAAATCTTGTTTGTGTTTGAAAAAGTCGTTTCATTAAATACTGACGTTGTTTAAAATAGTTCGTTGGATTAAGTATTGTTACGCGGCGATGATTACGATTATTCAAAGGTAAAATTTAAGAGAAAAATTGAATTGGAAAATGTAGTTTATGGTTCGATGGAAATATGTCGCTGCGGAATTAGTAATTTGGCTAGCTCTCAAACGAGGAAATAAGTCATGTAGCGAGTGCAATCCCATCCGCGAAGCCAAACGTGGCACGATTTTTGAACCAAAGGAAAAGATATTCCTTGTAGGTCACGTGTAAAAATATTCACTTGGCTCATGAATAAGATATTGTGGAGGAAAACTTCGGAAGGACACAAAAGGTATTCCAAGTCCAAGTGACGCCAATGAAACGAAACCAGAGTTATTATAATTACATTCTTTAAATAATCATTCTTATTTGATAAAAAAAAAAAAAGGAAGCGTTACGATGAGTATAAAAATTAAAGAATACGCAGAAATCAAAGTATGAGAAATGCTGCGACTGACTGTAGCTGTAAGTGAGTTATAAACGCAGCCAAACTCAAAGTCAATACACGTCGTTAGCAAACGTTCTTACTAACGGGGAGCATGAGGCCCTCGCTTGCAACGAGCCATCCAAATTTCAAACTTTCTCTACCTTTGAATTATCTACAAACAGTCCGACTTCCCTTTACAAATTTCCCTGAAGAGGAGCAATTAGTGCTTCTCCCATGCACACCGAGAAATCCACCGATAACAAATATTATAATACGTTGCTATAACTAATTCTATATAAGCTTGTTTTACATGCACTACATTTATACTTTTCGAAAACGAAGCTTAACATTTCTGAAAATGCTGAAAGCTTAACATTTCCATCGGATATTTCCGGGACAATTAATTTAAACTAAAAGGAAGCTCATTTCGAGGTTTGGCGCGTACAACTCCAAAGCAATCCGCGTGTTAATTTAACAATTGTTGTGAACAACGTTCCGAGTAATTTCGCGAAAATGAAATTTCACGTTAACTGACAAAAATTCAGGATTTAATTGTTCTAGCGTTTCAATTCGTAGATTCGAGTTATCGCCAGATCCACGATCGTTGCATAATGAAAATATTAGAATTCACAGGTTTGATGACCCAAAGACCATATTAAGATAACAGCATTAATCGTAATAATTTTGGTCTTCGAGGTATCGAAGGTGCCTCGAAACATTACGTCGAGACTGAGTTGAAACAGTGACTCTTGTTCACGCTTGCAAGCTTGTTTGTCAACAGTGAAAATACGTTCGAGTCATGGATTGTGTGAATGGTTCGTAGATCTCGATCTGGACTTTTTCGAGAGGAAAGGAGGCGAGTCGATATCCTGTGAAAACGCCGAAAGCGGATCGAAAGAGGAAGAAAGCCCCGCAGACACTCTGGATCGTGTCAAAGTTGTGTTTCTCGGTGCACCTGGGGTGGGAAAGTCCAGCATAATTAGGGTGAGCACAATTTCCATTGAAACAGATCAATTTCAAACTCGATGGATCGACAATTTTTTAATAAAAATACGAAGGCAGTGCATCGCGAGATGTTTGAAGTATTCTTAACGACATATGCTTTGCCCAAGCAAATGATTAATTTCCTCGGGGACAGTGATATGTCAGATGATTAATTTCCTCGGGGACACTGACATATCACATGATAAATTTCCTCGGGGACATTGACGTGCAATAACAAAAATAATGTATTATTACTACACCAGGATTGTTTATCATATGACGTGAAGTATCGAATAAAAAACAATAATGGACAGACTGGCGTAATGCGATCGAAAAGAGAATGAAAAATACAATACCGAAAAATGTTACTTCGATAAATACACTAAAAATGTGACGCGAAAGGTTTACCCATTCGGGCTTTGTTTTTGGAAAAATCGATTTTGAAAGCTTGTCGTGGACGCTATTCAGCGTGGCTTGGTTCGCGTGTCTGGCCATCACTGGCCGTTTCCACTTGAGGTAATATTCGTGTACATTGACTGCGATGGAATATTATTTATTTCTTATCGATGTTCTTTGATCTACTAAATAGTATTTAAAAGCAGGCTAAATTAGTTCCGGAATAAATGTAAAGAGGAATTGTCATCATATACAAGAATCAACGCAAGTAGAAATAGCCAGTAATAGTCAGCCATGTTAGCTAATTTTCAAGATCGAAATTTTCGAAAGCTATGCATCGTAACAAAAAATGTTATTCCACATTTTAGATTCAGTTTTCCATGAAGAATCGCCCTCCTGTTGATTTCATCCCGATTTCCACCCTGGTCCCTATAATTCTCCATTTTATTCCAAAAATATTCTGACGTGATAGTAACCACTAAGTTCTGAATAAATATTTATAATTAATTTCCCTAACAACGTAGCCCGATAACATTGTCTCAAGATTGATGAATGTCATCTACCAAACTCTGTTTAATTAAATCCGCGGATGATTAAACGTCCCGCCGTTACGTGGAAAACACTTTCTGGACCTTTTTCTTTTCGATATCGCAGCTTACAAACACTTTTCTATAATACTTTAAGACGATGGCTGGAGAGAGGAATCGATTTATGCAAAACAGTGGTGATCATCCTTTGTCTTTAGCCAGCCAAATGAAATGAAACGAGCCTAATCAAATATAGATTTCCACCGCCAAAAGAATCCACGTTCTCAACCTTGGTTCACCTTTGTGCATCTGTGATTCGAAAGAAACGTGTAATGGCACTTAAGCAAAGAAATGCATTTGCACTCTACGGATGCATCGGCGTGTTTGTGGATTGAAAATAGAACTATGAGCAGACCTCGTTATGCCATTCAACTTTTGCTCGCACATCCACAAGACGTAACAAGAAGCACAACACGTCCCAATTGCGCGATACACCGGGTATAGCTGAAAATAATTGGACGAGCGCGTATCTAGATAATGAACACTCTACCCAGGCTTCGTAACGTTCGTTAATAAAAGAGCCAGTGTAATTCCATTTAGTAAAATGAAATTTGCAATCAACGGATATTAAACCAGCGCCTCGCTCGACCGTCAATTCTTCGTCCACCTTTTAGCTTTATTTTTCTGTTTTCTTTTTTTTTTTTTTTTTTTTTTGCTTTCAGTGCAAACCAATTCGTTTCACACTCCCGCAATTTGTACAGTCAACCGTACGAATGATTTTTAATCGCGGTAAACTCTTCGCGACTTCTCTTACGTTTTCCTGTTTATTCAAAGTTCATATTCCGTTTACGTAACACCGAGGAGCGCGCATTCAGAGTCTGAATTTCAGACCCTGCTCCCCTTTGAACACCCACAGCTGGAAGTGTTATTGGAGGTTCTTACGAGGGAACACTTCCCCTTGTTTTATAATCCGATTTCAAATGCAAAACCCAAATGTGTATGTAACCGAAAAAATGTCTGGGATCACTTAGCTAATACGTAGTAATCTGGCGCTAATGGCGAAGATCTTAACGGAGGAATTAAAATACATTTCCAAAATAGAGGGATCTTTTCAATTTCTCTACCTCAGGGACATTTGATTTTACTTCTGATAATCGACGAGAAAAAAAAATACCGTGAGTTTCGATATTGTTGCCTAACGTATTTTTTTAAATAGAAATTGAAGAACATTTGTATCGCGGTAATTATTGACCTCATTGTTCCCAAAGGACTTCTTTGTGGAAAGAATTGTTCTTTTCTGTGTTACGAGCACTGGAAATGATTTATTTATTACTTCCGAGTTAAGGACAAGTCAAAAAGTACGAAATGTACGAGGAAAAGCGAGAGAAGAAAGAAACGGAAGCTTAATTGCGTCGTGGACCGTGATCGATAATATCGCGATAAAACCTCTTGTGTTTTGCTATCGAAAAAGAACGGACGCGAGCCACGTAGACGTTCAATCGAGTCGCGAGCGAACAGTGCTTTCGTAAGACGCGAAACGACTTCCGTTAATTTCCGGGCCCAGTTTCCGGTTACCGTTGGCGACTGTCGCCGCCCCCGAGGAAATTGAAAGCCATCGAAAAAGGACTGCAGAATATTTAATCGGTCACGCCAAGTGCACAACACGTCCGACAGCGTTTCAACGGGAATTTTAGCGAGCGATTTCACGTTAATTGAAAGAGCCAAACGTTTCGTTAAAATATTGACCGTTGAATTATGGAATAGCTCGGAGATCTTCAAGAGGAAACTGCGAAACGTACGTATCGAAAATGGGGAAGGATTCTGCTATTTTATAATTCCGGCTGAAATTTTCTTCGTGATTTGTGCAAATATTTTCTTAACATAATTTACCAATCTTGTGACGGTGTTGGCGTGTATGTAGATCGGATAAATTAATTATGAGCATTTAGAATTTTATGTACGTGGTTTAATCCCCGGAGGGTTACATGTATTCCGTTCCCTTCTCCCAACTCTGTATAATACATTTTCTTTGTACAACATTTTTTAAACCCATTCTTGTTCTAACCTTCCTCCCTAAATTAACTCCCTCCTTTTCCCCTTGCCTCCGCTCTCCTCATCATCCATCCACGCATTTGCCTCTTCCTTAATAAATTACACTTCGAATACAAACGTTTCACTTCCTCCTCCAACGCTGTATTTGTTCGAACCACTCTGTACCATCGTCAAGAGTCGTTTGTGCGTTTCAGCAATTCGTGTGGAGCGAATTCTCCGAGGAGTACATGCAGACCGAGCGCAGGGAGACTTTTTACCCTAGCGTGGTACTCGCCAATCGATTGTACGAGCTGAAAATCACCGATCTACCGATGATCCCGTACTTTCCAGTCAGCTCGCACCTCGAGTGGACGGACTTCCGTTACTACGGGTTACGAAGTGCCAACGCCTACGTGCTCGTGTTCGATCTCAGCAATCAGGACACGTTTCAGGTACGCGTGCAGGACTCAAAGTCACTTGACCGCAGATTGATTAGGTTAGTCGAATTTCTTAACGAATGGATCCGTAAAGGGGATCGATGACGACATGTTTCGATCGATGGGCCATTTTGTAGGGGCGAAGGGTTTAAATCACAGAAATGAATGCAATGGAACAATGGCCATAGGGCGATGGAAGTAGTCTAGCTTCCCGTTGTTTCACCCCTGAAAATTCTTGATAATTGTTTAATTTAAACTGGTCGTTGAATCCGTTGCTACAGATCTACTTGATACGAGAAGTGTACACGTTATCTTTAGAAAGTTAACAAAGTAACAGCACCGTCTCCTAACTAGTTAGTCACTGTTTACATGGCCTCAGTTTACCAAGTTCGTGTCGACCGAAGTGTACCTTGCAGTTAGTACATCGAAAAGGTTTTACTTTTCAGTGACTCCATTGTAGTGGAAACAAAAACTAAATTTGCAATTCGAAACTGTGCGTCCACTTTAAAATTTCGTTTTGAAAGATCCGGATAAACAAGTCCACTCCCTACACTCTCTTTAAAAGGATTTTCCACCCCAATTCCTGTGAGAACTCCTCTTTCATTAAAGACCCTTCCTTACATTTAGCAGAGGGTTGCGAACTTTCCTTATTCCATCGCCTAAGGTTCTTCTCTATCACACTCTATCAGTTTTTATGAAATACGTTCCACTTTGAAGGAAACCACGAAAATCATATGTATCAAACTAACGAAAGAACTTGAGAGCCGCGTGAAAAAATTCGAAATAACTCGTTGCGTTCGTGCGCCACAAATGAAATTCTAATTCTTAGGAACTTTAGAATCGCGAACGAAAGGATTAACGCGATTTGGATGAGCTGCACGCACCGCGTCGGTGGGTAACTTCGACTTTTCGCTCTCTTCGAGTATCGTTCCAGATTCAGAACGACGTCGAACATCGGAACTTCGTTTCGAGACACTCCAACGTCCCGTATTTTCACGGAAGTTGGATACCAAGTTTGATTATTGCATCCCCGTGGTTCGTAAGTTAGACTGAAAGGGACGGAAAGTAAATTTCACTCTTTCAAAAGCTACCCTTAATACCGAGACGTGTGGGGCTCCCGCGCGCGCGAATGGCTGCGATTCGAGAGTATTTCAAACACAGACTTGTAACATCCGAAACGTCTAAGAACGTAGACGAACATCGAGATGCTACTTTTCGGCTTGAATTTAACAGCACAATTTTCTAGTTTAGTTCGTCCTGCATTTTTCTTCGGCGTCGATGCTGAAGCAATTTCGTTTCTGATTTCGCAGTACATTAGAACGTTACGAGAGCAAATCTACGAATCCAGAGACATGAGGGGTGTGCCGTTATTAGTGGTCGGGAACAAGCAAGACGAATTGTCGCCTGCGACTGCTTCAGGGACTAAGTACAGGGACATCGTCAATCTAGTCCGGAAGCACTGGCGGTGCGGCTACGTCGAGTGCAGCGCAAGATTTAACTGCCACGTCGTACAGGTATGTGCAACATTAACATTTACCTTTCACTGCTCTTGGAACGTGGAAAAATAATCAGAGCTAATAAAAAGGTATCGAATAACTTATTTAAAAAGTCATTTTTCTTAGTTTTATTTTAAAGGGTAAAACTATCTCTTACATATCTAAGTTTGTAGACTTTCACAAATTCGTTATACTTTTATGTACACTGGGTATCGTTTATCTCTTTTTATCGAACGATAAAAATTTAATCTAAGTGTAAACATTAATCGTGGTAATTTTAGTCGTATTTATTTATTACTGGGCTTTCCAGCGTTTGGTAATACAAGTTTCTCGACCAGAACTCGGCAATCCATGGTTAACATTCTATCAATTTTATTTTCATTACTAGTTGACTTTCTAGGTGAATTTGATCTCACAATGGATATCGAAGGATACTTCGCGATTAACGTACTTATTTCGGAAAAAGGAGATGTTGCTTTCTTGATTTGGGAATGATCTACATCCTTATTTTTTGGAATTTGTGGAACTGATTTATCAGGTACTACCATTATCAATGATTCATCCGAATCGGAATTGTAGAATTGAATTGTATCATCCAGTTGTACTAACGACGTACTCAACCCTACGCTAGGACTTTTCGATCTACTATTATACCTATGTATATCAGTATTCGTCAGATCTTTGAACTTGTCATCTTCATGCATACTTCTTTTTTTTGAATATCCTAAAGCTACTGTACTACACGTACTATCTACATCGCTAGAGTAGTCTTCTTTTTCTTCCGAGAAATTATTTGTATATAAGTCTTTTTCAATCACGGGAAAATTCTTTTTTATTTCATTAAGCTTTGATTTTAAAACTTCTAAATTTAATACATTGCCTTCTGTGACTTTTGTTTCTATTGTGGGATTTTTTGCAGATTTTTTAATAACATTAATATCACTTAATTTATGTAAAACGATTTGCACATCTTTAAGATTGCTTGATGAGGAATTATTATTGTGTACTTTAATGGGGAAAGTAGAATTTTCTTTTGATGATTCTCCTATATCATTTCTAGTATCTAATCGCGATAGAGTTGTATCTTTACTTTTTAAGAAATCTGAATTGTGTCTTAAGTTTTCACTCAAAGTCAGGGATGTTTTGGATCTACGTGTAGAGATTATATTAGTATATGTACTATCAGATTCTGAACTGCTTTTAGTGTGCGGTTGCAAATATTCAGTATTAGAACTCCTTCTAGACAGTGAATTCAAAACAGTGATTTTACAGTTATTTGTCATACTCTGTTGAAAGTATTCATTATTCAATTTTTGTTCATGGTTGGTCAATTCTTCCTTCATTTTGCTAATGATGCAGCTGATAATAAATATTATATTTTCTGCATTCTCTTCTGTTATTATTTCGTTCTTAAGGTCCTCCAGTTGTAACTTATTCAATTGTAATGTAAATTTTACAAAAATTTGTTTAAATCCTTCTATAACTTTGTTAATACTAGGCTTAAAGTTTGGAGCAGCCGGTTGCTGGTTCCTCTTTTTAGGACTGCTGCTTGCTACTGAATCAATCACACTGAACTCATCACTCCTACTATCATTCACTATTATACGTTTGTATCTTGCACGTCTAAGTGCATAACTTTTTCTACGATGCTTGTTAACATTATGTTGCTTTCTAAAGCTCAGCGATTTAAAAATTTCATAATCGGATGAACTAGAAGATGCATCATTACTCTCCTCCTGATAATTACTTTTCTTATGATTGTTCATAGAAGTATTATTTGAGTTATGACTTCTTTTAAATTTCCTGGAACAAAACATCTCCATTCATGCTTCTTCCATTACATGTGACACTTTCTATTATTCACTACACTATTTTCGTCCAAATACGTTTAATTTTCACTTTATCAACAAATTTTCTTCGAGGAAACACAGGATATAAACATTTCATTCGAAAATAAAATCGAACTAAAAGATATGACTTTACTGCAAAGAAATATTAATTTAAATTACGAAAATGAATTGGATTCTATTTATGTAAACGAAATACACGTATGAAACGAAAAACCAAGAAGTAAACTGGAACTTAAAGTAAACGATAGGAACGTTATGAGTCCAGAAGGTTATAAACTTACGTTGGACCAGAAGCCATGACAATGACAGAACCGAGATTAATTGACCAAGACAATTGAGAATTTCAATTCACAGCACTTGTGGTTACAACAATAATGCATTCAAACGTTTAATATTATATGAATTCAAAAACAAGTGATTTTTAAACAGAAGAATACAATTTTCACTTTGCGTACAGTTTCTGGTAGTTTCTATCATCTGTAGCAATCATTTGTTACTAAACGAAGTATCGAATGTTAAAAATTGAATCAGTGGATTCATATTTGTGATAAAATTGTCTACATAAGTTTAAAAGAACAAAATGAACAACAATTTTGTGGTTAGATCAGGACGTTGCGAGCGGATTGTTGCGTTTCATGGAATCATGGACACAAAATCAGTATCGCCATCTCGTGGTCAAAAGAACGAACTAATTTTGGAACCTTCGGAAGTTTGTAGTGAAAAGAGCTTCCACTATTTCATAAATGAATAATTAATACGATTGTTGGCTTTATAAGACTTATATATATTGGTAATTATGTCGAATTTATCACTTATTTGAATAATTATTTCATGCAGGACTAATTATCGACCTCTTTAGTTAGTGGCGCCATCGGTGACAAAACACCCAAGTTTGTAGTAAAAATAGTTCCCACTATCACTGCTAGATGGCCCCATTAATATTTTTAAATCAATTATTCTTTATTTTTCATAAATTAATACAATTTTTGGCTATATAAGACTTCAATATATTAGTTAATATCTAGAATTTATCGTTTATACGAATATTTATTCAATGCAGCAATAATTATCGACTTCTTTAGTTAGTTGTGCCATCTATAAAAAAACAGTGGGAACTATTTTTACTACAAACTTGGGCGTTTTGCCACCGATGGCGCCACTGAAATTAAATTCAAAAGGAGGGCGCGTAAATTAATTGTACTTTTTGATACAAACTTTTAAAAGCAATAATGAATAACTACAGGTGTTCCGAGAATTAATGAAGAGCATCCAGGCGGTCGAAGGTAGACCACCCTCTCCCACGTCTGCACCCTCGCAGCCGTTGCGGTCACATCCCCACGACACCAGCGCAAAGTGTATTCTTCTCTGACATTGAAACCAAAGCATCAGCGTACTCGACTTCTGCGACCGTATTATAAGGAGAAGCTGCTTCTTCCCTTACCACGATGCAGGGTCGTAAGTCACTCGAGTCGAAGGCGAAAGACAAAAGTAAACGGAGGGAAGGTTTGCTCGAGAGACTCGGGAGAAGCTTAATGCGAAAGCTCAACTTAGAGGGGGATCGTGAGGCAAACGTAAGCTCGTTTTAACGAGTTGTAATATTCAGCTCTTTCGTGAAAGTTACGTTCGCCTATATAACCGCATTGGTTCCAACATGACGCGATGATCTTCTTTTTACGTTAGCGTTAGTCACATCCAACGATCGTGGCGGAAAATAAAGGTAAAAGTGATGCTAAAAATCCTCGTTATTTCGCAAGTTTTGATCGATTGCAAAGAATCGGTTGCGTTGACTTTCATGAAAGATCGGTATTGACAGTATTAGGAAACCAAAGAGCGAATGACAAAAGCGAAGACCGAATGTACTTTGCGTATTTAGATATCCCCGTATGTCGTCTGTGAATATTCCCCTAATGGAACTGCTCATCGTGTGACTTTAACATTGAAAATTAATACAATCGTCTCGTACAATTGCAGTTACTCGTTCGCGTCGAGTCTAACGAAAAAGGTTGCGAAATACTTATACATGAAATCGACTGCCGAATACTACTGTGTACCCATGTACAACTCAGTTTGCACTTACGCGATATATGTACCGTTTAAATTGTACCTCGAGGAATACCAGGGAAACTGTACAAACGCAACAAAATTACGCTTTGTTGTTCACGTTTCTTTATCTGTGATATGTTTTACTCTTCCCACGTTGTTTAATGTTTTACTACTATACTTCACGTATACGAAGCAATCATGAAACTTTAGTTTATCTTCCGGCAATGCATTCGGCCTAATAGTAATAACAATAATAATAATAATAACAATAATAATAATAATAATAATAATAATAATAGCAAACAAATAAATGTAACAATAGCGTGTTATTGAGAGTTACCTCAGATCAAGCAATAGTGAATACAATATACATATATTTTACTATACTGTTAAGGAATTAATCATTAGTTCGTAAGGGTAGCTATTGATATTACGAAGTATTGTACACGTACACTGCCAGCCACATACAGGTTGGACTGTTTTTAACGGTGATAAGTTCTATTATTGTAAGTTCAAATAAACTTAACGAAGGTTTTCCTTCACCGTTGTGATGGATAACGTTCACTTCACACGGAAGTAAGCGCAAGCGTTTCTACTGATCTAAAGTACAATTTCAGCTCTCTATTTTAACTACATACATAACTTTTTGGAAACCTTTAAAGTTTTAGAACTCTTTTAACGAAATGTTCTTCATCGAAAAGCATAACACTCGCGAACATCGCTTTACCTTCGTCCTTCCCTGTCAAAGGGTCGACTAAATAATGTTTAACTACTTAAATTAACTATTAAAATTAACTATCTACGATCTCGTTTACATACGCGTTCTGTGTACCTGAGAATCTTTAAATATATACGATAATCCCTAAGTGCCCCGTTAATCATTTTCTGTTGGAAAAAATGTACAATCAAAGTCGAGACAAATTAGAAACTAAAAGCAGGAAGGAACACTAGCTGTGTTTCATGTCCTCCGTGACGTTTCTTTGAAATAATTCTTTCAGGTAAATTGTTAACGCTCCCTTTTTTTTGGCACTTCGAAAGACGATGAAAAAATTAAATTTTAATAAACACAAAATTGTCGTCCCTGTATGCGTGGCCAGCAGTGTACACGGTCGTGCAGGTCTATAAAGTGTGTGTTACCGTTGTTATTGTTTATACGTATGTTAAGCAAACGCAATATTATCGACCGAACAATTTTATCGGCGACTATAGGTGAATTAAACTTAGTTGGTTGTTCAATGCCACTAAGGGGAGATGAAGACAGAGGGTAGTTGTACGATGTGATGGGGGTAGCGGCCTCGAGCGACCAATTGAGTTCGGTTCTATCTTACTACGATGAAGAAGATGCCGGATACGATCTATGGAGGATTCGAGAATTTTTACATTCGACCGAATGAACGCAGCGAATCGATCGTTGATTTCTAGATTAAACTTGTTGTCCGTTGCACGCGTAGGTTGTGCAATAATATACATACGTAAATGTTGAATATATCGCGATCGCGACAGCGCGATTCTATGTCACGCAACATACAAACATGTGTTCGTTGGAAATCTTTGTACCGAAATACATATAGGGTGTAGACATGGTAAACTCTCGGCGCGATTTGTACAGCCATCGAATGTCGAACAAGCGTCGTTTTACATACAAAATACCATTCACTATTTTGTATGCAGGAGTAACGCAATAATAAAAAAAAAAAAAAAGAAAGAAAAAGAAAACAAATTGAAGATTTAATTCTACCTTTAATTAACCTTTTATCCGTTCCTCGGCTTCATTTTTTAGGAAACAGAAATATCGCACGAAACGTAGCGATATCGAATCGAAAGTCAAGTGACAAAAGAACATCGTTGCGTGAGATACGTCAAAGAAAGTCATCATGAATTGATCCTTTTCACCTTGTCTAGACGCGGAGCAATGCCTAAATTTTTCGCCGCATTTCACACAACGCTGAACCAACAGCAAAAACAGTAACAGGAACGCAATATGGTGTAGAGATAGTTGGATGCGTAGATTTTAAGGATTCACCTTTCGAAGGCTGCTGTTCGTAGATGAGAGAATTTGGAAGGATGTTTCAGGCATGGAGAGGAGTCCAACATGCAAATCTACAGATGATGATTATGGGTGGCGTGAAAAACCATACTAGCAACAGTAATTATGGAGGACGACGACACGTATTGACGGTTGGAATCGAGTAAAGATATAAACAATTCGAGAGCCACTTCCTTAAAGTACTTCGTGCGAATATTATTAAATGTTTGTTAAATAAATGTTAAGGTGAGTACAACGAGAGGTACGCCTAGTACAAGCACAGACCTAAAGGAAGCCCTGTGCGAAAAGATTCCGCTACACTACGACCTGCTACGAAATTTTCGTCGTCAACACGGGCCCTCCGTAGTCAGTCACATCACCGTGGAAAACATGTACCAAGGGTTGAACGGGGTGAACACCATGGTCAGAGAAACGTGCGAGACTGATGCAAAATATGGAGTAAGTATTGCTGCAATAAATCTTTGTTTACAAAGAGCATTATAAATATTGTAATCGCTTCTTTTGCACAGATTAAGTACAGGGGACTAACGATACCGGAAGTTGTCACTCTGTTACCCCGCCAAGGAAAGTCACCAAGCGCAGAAGCTGTATTCTGGTTGCTGTTAACTGGCGACGTCCCAACGCATGAACAAACAGCGTCGTTGATCGCTGATTGGACGTCGCGACGTCAAAAGAGGAAGGATTGGTGGTCAGGACCAGGTGGAGGAATAGTTGGTTCCGTTCTCCAAACTCTACCAAAGACAACGTCACCTTTGGGAAGACTGTCAGTGGCCCTCACCGTCTTCGACTCAAGCAAACATATAAAAGAGGCGCTGAAGAATCGTGCCGCGAGTCACACTCACTGGGAGGTGAGTTGAGAATGTACCTTCTTAAATTTTAGTTAGAGTTTCCATAAAACGATTAAATTTCCTTCAAGTATACGTACGAAGACAGCATGGAGCTACTAGCCACTCTACCTGCGATAGTTGGCCTGACTGCTAAAGCCGAAGGATTGAGGGATGTTAAGGACGAAGGAGATTGGGTTCAGTTTCTCCTGGAATGTTTATCCAACGCGTCTCAAATTTCGGAAAACCATCAGAAATCGTTGCTGGACTTCCTTCGGTTATACGTCACGTTGAATGCGTGAGTTTACTTGCAATCATTTTTGGGACACCCTAACAATTATTGGGTTGCCCGGAAAGTTCATGCTTATTTTTAAGAAAACTTCAAAGGCATATTTGAATGTTAATGTATATTTATTGATTTATATATGTACCATTTTGTTCCACAAACTTTCCACCTCTTAAGGAATACACACATTTTATTTGTTTTCAGCCATTCCGATATATTCAGACATGTATCTATGCCTACTAAAAATCGGCATGGACTTTCCAGACAGCCCGATATATTTCTAAGAAATTATTAGTACACACGGGATACAATTCTATTTTCTCAGCGACGAAGACGGAGGTGTTCCCGCCGTCCATGTCACGGAAATTCTTGGAGCCTCTCAATTGGACGTCAATCAAGCTCTGGCAGCAGGAGTTTTGGCATATGCTGTTGAACCCAACAGTGGCACACTGGCGCAAGTAAATTAATAGTATTAACCCTTTCTGAAAATAGAATTCTATTCCATTTTCATTTCTTTGTTTTGATAATATAGTACATGGAATTTCAAACGAAAATACAAGCCCTCCTTGGTCGAGACCTGAAGGAAGAGAAGTTGACAAATTACGTAACTCTGATCGCTAAAGATAAATTAATTGGCTACCAGGAAACCGAGATTTGCGACCCACGGTACACAGCATTAATCAATTATGTCAAAGACAATATGGCGGATAATGCAGACGCAAAGGTAAAAAACACGATTTTCTTAACACTTACCGTCCAATGGTGATTATCATAGAAACTGATTCATATACTGGCGGTCGGTAAGCGTCGATAAGAATTCTATCAACTGGCTACCAGTCGGTAAAGTGCATGTATAAGTCCAAATTTGGATTTAGTGTACTCTATATATAAAAAAACATTCGTTTTTTCTTCTCCATTCTTATAGTTATCGCAAGCTATCGCACGAATACTAACTACGAAAATAAAGACTGCAAAGGGAAGAGTAGTTTATCCAGAACAAAGTACAATCGCAGCCCCAGTGTTTCAGGTATAACAATAAATTATTTTTATCATGTCTAATCATTTCTAATCCTACATAAAAATTTCCTACCTAACTTTTCATTTACGCAAGTCCCTCGGATTGAAAGACATGAACTTCAATCAAGTGTTGTTATGCATGTCACGAGCACT